GACGTAAGGCCACTCTGGTCCAGTCTCATTTCACGGACCCGATAACATTAGAAAGATTTCGCTATGGTCAAATCAAATGAGCAGCACGATTAATCTAAAGTATATTCATATCAACAGTCACAAAATATCGAAGGGGAGAAGCGTAGTAGCCAAAGAGCAGAGCCTTATTGCTCCAATTGAACAAGGGTAGCAAATCACAAGACCGACCTTCTTCTAACCTCGGCATTGATCAATAATTCATTGTCTTTCTTGATGAGCAAACACGAGGTTGCTGTTACAGCATTTATTCATGCAGAATAGCTGGTTGTTCAGCGGTTTAGCCATCTTTTATAGACTATGGAAATGTTTGGTTGACCAAGTTGCGTGTCAATTTGACTCGTTCCAGGCTCTGAAGAAAGCTAAACCACTAAAATATCAGCTATTCTAAATGGGTAAATGCTGTAATACCAGCCTCCTGTTTGCTCATCAAGAAAGATGGTGAACGTGCTTGTCCGTGTTTATTTCCACTATGGTTTTCCATGGTGATCATCGCTAGATAGATGCATGGAAAAAAATCCATTCGGGTCCAGTTTCAGCAATTCCAAAAGCATTGAAATAAGGTAGTCCTATTAAACTTCATTGTCATTTTCAAAACCGTAACGTTCCACCATTAAAATTCGTCCATACCCTGTTCATCAAGACGAAATGTTTTGAGCCAACAAATTACTTCTCACCTCGCAACGGTTTACCGAATCATCGCGGCTGGGAGGTGTGCCCGGGTGTCGGACTGCAATGTCCAGCGGGGAAATTCGTCCCCTTGGCAGGGCCTTCCAAGCTAGGAAAGAGTCCTGGGTTTCCAACAGGAACCAACTAAAAGTAAAGGGCGGCGACGGCCTGTGGTTAGACGGCCTGGGGCAGACTTTGGTTTGGCTGGCCACGGCACTCTAGGGAACCATAATGGCTAAACCAGAAAACTTGGATACATACTTGGATACTCGGACTTCATGAGCTGTGCGGACCCCAGTACATATGCCATTCATTCCTTTCTTTCGCAATCGTAGTCAATGGTGGTGGTCTTGTTCGAGCATGGTAGCGTGTGCGAGTCTCATACCGTGATCTGTAAAACAACTGAAACTACGGGTACAGCTGATTAACTTTGTTTACCATGTCTGCCCAACGTGTAGGTGGTCGTCCTAGGGGACGTTTGCATTCTCTTGGAGTCCACTCTACTGCTCTTTTCGTCCGTTTGTCGTCTGTTCTTCTCATTATTTGACCGGCCTATCTACGTTTCGCTATCGATGTATGTTCTCCTGGATCTCGAAGAAACCAGCAAACCTCCGAAAAAGTGGAGATTATGCTGGGGCCCGCACAACCAGTGAGGTCGGGCCATCCAAGTATCCAAGTAAGTAAATTACAGCTTGAGGACAGCCAAAGACTATCCATCAAGGAAACCATATCCATGATATGGATGGAATCCACCCAATGTATACACGTTGAACATGGATTTGGTAAATATAAAGGCGTTAAAGTCAGCACTTCCCTAAAGATGAGCGTAGACAGATGGAAGCGTAACCTTCGTCATTATAATTTCCGAGGGTGTGATGTTGTCGGCGGTATAATGAAAAATTAAGTCCGGTTCCACTAAAAAGATGAAACCCTTGACCACTCACCTTCTTTTCAAGTTTGTTATTTGTGCTACGATTACCTATTTATCAACTCAGTATACTATAAAATAAGCCATAACTGGAACCATAGAAGAAGAAATATTTGGAAATGAAGCACCGTAGCGCAATAAAATTACGAGCTAGACTGATTCAGTGCAGCAAGTTCAATTCCACCACACGAAGGACAAAGTCGTCCTTGCATTCATAGCGGTCGGCTGGTAGAACAAAAGTGTGGGATAAGAGAAGAACAATCATATGAATTCTGTTTCCATAGCTCAAATCTTGATTACTTTGGGTAGCAAATCATAAAAACGACTACAGAACCTCATAGGATTAATCAAAGCTATAGACCTTAACCTCCGATTTCGGAAGGGTACAATCGCTACTCTCAACAAGACGTGCGAATTTTCTGAGTGAAAAAACACACTCCATATTAAAGGGATGATACAGATGATAGACATAGTAGGCCCCGCCACGATAGGCGTATCGATCGCGGTTGCGTCCCGAGCCGTGGTCGCCTCATTTCTGCGCGAGCGGGACGGCGACGCGGTCGTCGTCGTGTCGCGAGCGTGTCGTTGCGGTTTCTGAAGGCCTGCGTCGCGGTTCTGGAGCGGTTGCGCGGCATGAACGTGAAATACCGCGAATGAGCGCTTTTCGAAGCCACTCGGCAGCACCGGCCTGTCCAGGGCGGTTCCGTATGCGGAGCCGTACGGCCGCATGCGCGATGTCCGTCCGTCGACACTGAGTCGTGAGTTTTCCACTAGAACCTGTCCAGAAGACGAAGACGCCCGCCTCAGAAATCGCTATCGATCGCCGGTAGATCAGTAGATCTGAAGCAGCTTATGTGATGCCGTTGCGGCGTTTCCCATTGATGCCGTTGTGTTTTCCGTGATTCCGGATCTTCGTTTCAGTATGGAAGTTGCGGGTGCTCACCCTCGACGACAACAGTCCGCAACACCACAAGCCTCCAGCCAGAACTCGTCGACTCGAACCGCCGAGTATCAGCTGACCGAGTTGAAGAATGTCCCTACCAGGTCAGGTACGTCAACATACCTCGTTACGTCATTCATGGCTTACTATGTCTACTTGCATCGTTTTTTGTTGCCAACTGTATCGCCTATAGATTTACTCGTTCTAGCTGTTTCATTTTAGCGAAGGTCGTTACGGACGACTTTGAACAGGGTGAGAAGGCTTTCCCCACCATTGAGTCATCGATCGACGACAAGTTGGTGTTGAATGCAACGGCTTCTGAGTCAGAATCACGTGATGTTGCGGATGAGGATTTCCATGTAACAGTCCATTGTTCTTCTGTGTGTTCTTTTCGTACAAGTAGTACTTGAACGTATCCTTTTTTTGCAGCTGCGTTTGATTAATGCCGTTCGTGAGAATCCCTGTCTTTACGATCCACTCAACGAATTTTATCGCGATAAGCCAGAGAACAACAAGTTTCGAATGAGAGTTTGGGATAGGATCGCTGAGGAGCTGAACTGGCAGTGTATGTTCCGAGTAGTTTTGTTTTGTTCTTTTGTTGATACCACGTCGTAGTTACTTCTTACTGCTTTACTTGGAAGTTTGTGTCATTATATACTGTCATTTAAGTGAATTGGACTGGAAAGCTTAATACGTATAATAATTGGTTTTTTATTGTTTTCAGCAGATTTGAATTTGCTTATTGACGAATGGGATCGCCTACGTGACCAATATATCCAGAAAAAAACGGACCGTGGAGAGGTAAGCGCAATATTGCAAACCCTTGACATGGTATGTTTTGATTTTGACCCGTTTCTGGACTAGTCAGAAACAATGTTTTATGATTACAGGATGCCGCTGAGCAGTTGTGTCCATCTGGAGGTCTTTTGTCTGAATCTATGCAGTGGATAGACGAGTACATTTTCGAAGATGCACGTATGTGGTCCGAGTTATGGTTACAGAACATTTATTGTCGTAAGAGACCTTAAGTTACAGCACTGTCAACCCAATCTCACTTGTCGCTGTCACCGACGAACGCACAGGATGTGTATTTTAACGAGGTGAACCACGATGTAATGATCTCAGGGTAGGTTTCCATAGAAGCGAATAATTGTGGAACTCCTAGAATAACAGTTTTCAGTTATCAACAACCAACACCGACACTAGCATCACACAGACGATTGTCACAGTCAGAATCACATAGTGGAGGTAGATTTAGGCACTGTTTGCATTCCCTACTAGAATATAACGTCTTGCAAAAGAGTAGCGGTTTTTCTGAGTTGTTCCTTAGCTTTGGTGATTAGCTTTCCATGAAATTTGGCGCTTTGCAGGTTATCATATCTTACTACGACAGTCTAGTCCTACTGGAGGAGAAACCACTATCCGATTAGTCACTGGTCCTACAAGTGGGACTGAAAGTGCTGCGCGCAATAGCATGACGTCAGTGTTAGTTTGAAGTGGTCTTTTATTAACATTGCTTCTGTTTCGTATTTTCTAATACCTCCATGGGATTTTAAGTGGTGGATTTTTCAGCCATACTTCTAAAGCCATAACCGGAGTTGCTACCTCGAATACACGATCCCAATGTGTCCATGTTGTGAGTAATGCACTCTATTGATTATCTTCCTTAAAGATTCACATCTTTTTTTGTGTTCTATGTCCGTCATTAGTTAGTTATCATCATGACTGGAACATTTAAATGTGAAAGACGTTCATTATCATCCTTGTTCGTAGGCCAGGCTCAAGTTTGTTGCTACTTATTTTCTACTCTAAGTAATATCAAGATTTTTTAGTGGTAGTATAGCTCTTATGTTAATGAGTGAACCGAGTTTCCCAAAGGATTTCTGCTATCTCTTCTTTTATGCTTTAATGATAGTGAGATTGTGCACGTCGTTGTCCAAACTACTGTCAAAGGTTCACGCACCACCATCATCTTCCTCGCAGTTTATCCAGAAAATTGGTCATGAGGGGGTTACCGTGACTGCTACTGGTAGTGCAGGCATGATTGGAAACGTGAAGAAAGGTTTGTGCTCATTTCTCCTGCATCATACTAAAACTCCGTTAACAGGTGGTATTCCACTCATATTGTTCATAAAATATAGCTAATGTCGTATATTTTACCAATGTTATAAACTGCCTTAGATACAATGACAATGGTAGTTGACCCAACCACTTTCTACACTAATGGAGCTCAGAAGATGTATAGACTTGTCAATGTTTCTGATATGGTTTCGGGGTAAGTCGTAGTTTGTTTACAGATCAAGAGAATGGATATTGCTTCTGACTGGCTGTACGATGATATCTATTTTCGATCTAGTTTATGAGTTCAGTGTCAATCCTCCACCGCGAAAGCGTATTGCTGTAATACCAAAATCAACGGCTCAGTCTTCACAACAGAGCGCTTCTTTGCCGAATCAGTCTCCTCCACTTAGTATGACAAGTGGAGCCAACCCAATAAGCAGTGGTGGTCAGCTTGGCGACGACATCATTATCGATGACGGTATAGAGGAACGCACAGTTGTCATTGAACAACATGGTATAAACCTAAACATACTTCAAAGACATTAAATTGCAAGCTCTTCAAAAATTCTTTTTAAGTGATCTTACTTCATCTAGATTCCGACTCACCTTTGTTGGGTGACTCCCCACTTAGTACAATGATGGTCAGTGGCCATCAGGCAGTACCACGAGGAAGTTCACACCAATCGCGTCATATGCAACTTTCGGTATGCTTATTATCTCAGATGTTATTTTGATCTGATTTTATTGTTTCAGATGGTCGATCATTTAAGATCTCAAACACGTGCTCTCTCTACATCTCCGCAACATCACTCACCATCGCTAGGGTCGGGATACCTTCAGCAGAGTCAATACGATGCTGATCTACAATTTCAACAATTTATAAGCCAGAACTTGAGTATCCTAAATGACGATGAGGTACGTGGTGATCTGTTAGTTATGACTTGAACAAAAAAAAGCTATTCATATATTTTCATATACACATATATGCTATTGTTTCATATACTGATGTTTTGCCGTGGTCCTTGCTTTGTTAAGAGTACTGTCTTTTGTTAACAGATCTTATTTTAATCTTATATCCACTATATAATTGCCTTTTTTAATTAATGGATGCTGACGGGAGGTACCGGCCTTTGGGTAATTCTTTATACCAGTAATTTCAGAAAGCTATCGCTAAGATGCACATCCAGAAAATCCTCATGGATGCACGATTTGGCCAGGGAACTTGTTTACGTTTAATGCAAGAAGAAGAAATGACAGCACACGCAGATACGGGAGGTCCGTCCGGTGCAAGAGATGGCTCTCGTTCACTTGATATGTAACCGTGATAACCAAAGAGGAGCTTATAGATACGGAATTGCAGCTGCCCGGTGATGTAGGACTTTTTCTAGAGTTCAGTGTATTTGGAAAATGGTCTCACTAACAATTCGTATGCTTCCGAGCTTTAAAGATATTATGTGATTAGTCAAACAAATAGGATCCCGTCAGATTCTGCATCTGCCCTTCAGATTGGACTGCGTCACGCCCTTAAGCTGCCGGGTCTCTGCGTGAGATATTTCGTACTCTATAATTCTGTATATATCTGGACATATTCATATTTCGACTTTGAATAGAAAATTTAAGAAAATATGGCGAAACTTTTACGTGGTTTTCTAACAGATGGTTCAGCTTTATGACTAGTTGTCTAAGCGAATAAGTCTGTTGCTATATTCGGCAAGCTCCTGAATAGTGATGCGACCTCGCTGGTTAATGAATTTCGCCACTGAAAAACAGAATGGGTGCAAGTTATATGTGGTGTTATTTTCCAATAAAAATGTGATTATAATGGAATCTGAACACCAATGTATACAAACGAGAGAGCAACCCAGTGAAGCATGTGTAGAAGCGTGACAAACAGCTATAAGCGCATGAACGACATGAAGTAGCCGTAATAGATAAATTATGTCACCTTATTATATGTTACCATATGTTGCTATCTCCTAACGGTTCACCGCCAAATTGTGGCCGGATGGTGTTCCAGGGTATCGAGCTGCGATATACAGCGGGGAATTCATCCTGTTAGCAGGGTTTCCAAGCCGAGAAGGAGTCCGGCGTTTCTATCAGGTAACCCAGTTAAGAGTAAACCAATTCACGATTCACCAATGTCCTGCCTCTGATCCACAAGGACGGTTACTGTCTGTAGTGGTGACGACCTAGAGCAGACTTTGGTCAAACTATCCTCTCCAGGAAACCACAATAGCTAAACCAGAAAATCTCCGGAGAATGGAAAATGTACTGGGACCCATACAACTGGTGAAGACGCGCCATCCAAGTATATGTTATTCTACGTTACATAGTTGACCAGTGTGCTCTAATACAATTCGTGAGGACCTTGTGACGTTCGGCGTTAAGAAGGGCGTTATTTAGATGTCATTTATTCACATGTGTGGGCTTCAGTACTTCTTGAATCGGTTTGCTTCACTTCCATCCGTCATTGACAATGTTTACCCGGTTGTCACAGAGATTCTACTGCAAAGTAAGGTTCTGTTATCTCTTTTTTCCCCGGTGACACGTTGAATTCTAGCAGAGTCTAATTTCCGGTGGGAGTTTAAAGAAACTGTACTACATAAGTCATAAGCCTTCTCTACAGACAATTGCTGTCCGTTGGGTCGCACAGGCTTGCGGCTTTGTGGATCAAAATCGTCTACTCAGTCACCATGACGGCACTGAATCGAACTGATTATTCAGCCGTTCAACGACGATATTGCATACCGAATCCACAAAGACACCACTTAACAAAATGCGTGATCTGATTGTTTGATATCGTTCGGACTTTTTAAAATGCCCATTGAAAATAGAATTATCATGGGTGTTTCTTGCAAACTATGCACGTTTTATGAAGTTGCAGGAAGTGATCCGAAACTAAGATCCTTTACAAAAATTTGTTATTGTGAACACTAACTCTAGGAGAGGTCAGTGGAAGTGAATACAACATCGGGAAATTTGAAAAAAAAAAGGATCGAAGTGATGAAATTGGCTTTACTGAGCTACTCTCTGTAGTACGCCCTTTCCATGAAAGATTTTCCCCTCTGACAAGAAATTAGCCGATGGGCATAGTACGCGAGACACGCGGATATTAAGTGGATTTCACAACCGTAACATAGAACCTTTAAGAAAAAATTTAACACCAATAACCAGCTACTCAATTCTCTATGAATTACAAGCAAGCCACAACCCAAATCGATATTGTCATTCATGACGGAATCAGTGATTGCTAGAATCTATATACTTTGTCTAGATGCAAAACTCACCTGCATTTAACTCGTCATCAGTGATGCAGATAAACTTTCCACGATCATCGATGACGCCTTGAAGAAAGCCGTTGTCGAGAAAATAGTGCAGTCGTGTTATCGCTTCATCCGATTTAAGTCCAAAATGTGCAGCAAGTTCATCCATATTAACAATCTATCAAAAACCAAACATTGAGCGCCATAACCAAGAAAGGTGTCGCCTCCGAAATAATCATCAATGCACTACGGACCTTGCTCGTTTTCACATATTCAGCAAATTGTTCCATGAGGTTGTTTGATTCCTCTTCTTCAATTTGATCGAAACCCTCCTCTTCCACGGCGAACGAGGATTTCAACTAGAAAAAATCTTGTTTAACCACTGATACTGATTCAGCTAATGAAACCACTACAAATAGGCAACTCAGATATTGACTATCTATAAAAAGAAACTTTTCTTTTTAGATGTAGCCTATAACGAAAGCAGATTACAATATTCGCATCGTTGACCAATTTCATTCGAAAGCGTGACCACAGTGAAAGTCACAAATGTTAATTTATGTTGACATAAACACTGACGGTGAGCCGAAGAAGCGGAAGAACAGTTTTCCTATCCAAAGACATCTATTGGCATGAAGCAGATAGGAACAAAAGCCATGGACACCAACTTGGCATCTCAGCAACCTTAGTCCCAATTTCAAAAAGCACGTCTTAGTTCTCACTTAGTTTTAACTTTTATTAGCCGTTTATTCTTTGTGGTAAGCCATTATATGAAACGTAACCACAAAGATGCTGAGATGCGAGCAAAACAGATTCTCGGGCCCAGGAAACTTCAGTTTAACTGCTTCCAATGCCGATTTGTGCTACCCAGATCATTCCCGCTGCCGGATAAATGCTGACGGGACGTTAAGAGTAAAAAACTGCCTGAGTGAAATGTAGAGCAATGGGCTCAGTTGGTGCAGTGGATATCACACGAGCCCCAAGAGCAGGTAATCGCTGACGCACCTGAGGTTCTGAGGTTCCGGGTGTTGCTCATACCTGAGCACCATTGCAAATCTCACTTTAGCGAGATAAGATTTGTTGACTCTACGTTGTTAGTAAAGTCTTCTCCTATCCTAGCATATCTGCACATATAAGGAACAACTTCTTTAAGAAAACAGAGGAAAGCCATAGTACCGGAAAAATCACATCAAATCATAGACCAACCGCCAGGTATTCTTCGAGTTCTCTCTTTTCGCGTGCTTCTTTTTCCTTGGCCAACCGCTCCTGTTCCAACTTCTCTTCTTCGAGTTCCCTTTCCCTTTCTCTCTCGAGTTTTTCTTCCTTCTCCTTCTCTCTTCTTTTACGTTCTTCTCGTTCAATGAGTTCCTGCGAGAAATAAAACACCACAAAAGCGATAACTAAGCGCACAATCTACCTGCTCTCGCATTGCTTTTCTTTCCGCCTTGGCTTGTAGCTTAGCTGCTTTACGTTTCCCGATTTTCTCATCGCTCTCAAATATCGGTGAAGGACCTTCTGGATCAGGATCTAAATTCAAAATTTCACCAAAAACACGATAAATTGCAATAATTTCAACAAATGTCTATGGCCTGATTCTTGGATGACTCTTCTTCACTGGCTGTCCGGACTCCAGCATAACTTCCATTGTTTCGGAATTCTCCTCGTTTAGCCACTGTGGTTCCCTGGAATCCCGAGGTCAGGCTGACCAAAGTCTGCCCCAGGTTTTGACTACCACGGGCAGCCGCAGCCCTTGTGGATCAGAAAAAGATTTGCCACCATACGAGTAGTTTGATACGAGGACAATGGCGGATCCTGGTATTGGTTTACTCTTAGCTAGGCTTCCTGATGGAAACGCCGGACTCAGATCTGGAGACCCTGCCAGGTGGACGAATCCTTCATTGTACATTGCAGCCCGACACACATATAACGCCTCCTACCCACGATGAGGTGGTAAACCGTTAGAAGGTTATGGCCTGTTCCTTCTATACAGCTTACCGTCATATTCGGGATCTTGCTGTTCCAACATCTGATTAACAAAGTCATCGGTTTGGTGTTGTAACCGTCGACGGACGTTGCGTCGTCGACCACCGGTAACTGCAAATTCTGTTATAACACGAAGTGTTGTGATAGACATTACCGCTAAAACCCGCAAACTAAATTCGAACGAACACTGAGCATCTCGAAGACCGTCTCTCTGGTCATCTTCTGCCATTGCTAGCAGTGCTTCTGTGCGTTTACGAGCAGCTATTTCATCCCAATGAAGCCGAAGAAGTCGATAGATTATGAAAAAGAGGCTGGAAATAGATAAGGATCGGTCACATACCATTTGTCAAGCATGCTTCTTAACAATATCCCAACTATTTTAAGCGTTTTATGAACTTATTTCACTTTTATATTGTAAACAAAAGGAGCGCATGCTCTGAATGTAAGTACGGGAGACTTCAGGACCAACAAGATTGAAAACATATTCCAAACAATTCCACGCTTTACGATATGACACTTACGCTGTTAATAGTATACCAACCGAGCCTAAAAGTAGTGGATCGAACCCCTCCTTGGTGAATTTGAAAGGCGCCTCTGGCCTGAAGCGTTCAGGTTGTTCTGTCATGTCAAACTGAAACAAAGCAACTGTACTGAAATCCTACTCGGAAGTTAAAATCATGTGAACACGATGCACGGCGGCCAAGTGTTAAGCAATATGTACTTGGAGCATGACTTGAAGTGTACCACGGCAGACAGCGACTGCATGGACTGTGCAGAACTTCGAGTTTTACATACTGAAGATTTAGCACAGTGCAGAACAGACTAAGATAGTTCACAAGTGGTCTCTTGTAATGAAGTCAAACATGGTAAGACAATGAGCCAACAGCCGGTAAGAACATCACGAATACAAGCACAAACCCATGCGCAGTCGACAACTTGGTCTTCTGCTCTCTTTGCGATCTGAAAACATTACAAAACCTGAAGAAGAACTGAACTACTCAGCAATGTTCCTCTCTCTGACCATGGCAGCTTCCATGGAATGATTTCATCAGTTATCACTACTGCTATCTTATTTCTTCTTATCGGTCCACTCACTAGCTGTGAATGGAGCTCAAAAGCTAAAATAACAGAGCAAAAGTACCCTTGTACTGGACAAAGTTACGATTTTTGTTTGTAACCAAAATAAGAAAGAGGTTATTCTGACAGGACACTAAGTAACACCACCGAGTAAAAACTGCCAGCATGAAAATGACAACGACATACACGATCAAGCCACGATTTAACCAACATCTCTCCAAAAGTGCCCCATAAGTACTTGTATACAGATATAGCAAGAGAGAAATAGCAAGAGGGAGAAATAGTACTGAACCCCAAAAATAAACAGTACTTTGTACTGACGAACTCAACAACACATTTGGCACCGGCCTTAGATGTTCACGTTCAATGGCGGCGGTCCCGTCCAGGTCGGCGGCGCGTTCGTGTGCGTGCTGACGTGGTGAGACATCGCACTTGCGGTTTTAACTAGCAATTTTGCTTTGTATTCTCCCATATCTGATTCCTTCGTGGTATTCTGTTATGCTAGTGGGCCCTAAGAGATTAAGAATACTTAGGAAATAGCCTTGGGGTCAGCTAGATTGCTTGTAGTCCACGGAGGCCTGAAAAACAGCTGGATTGACGTTTGCATTCTAGCTACTTTATCGAATATTTCCGATAAGGCTGCTTTTTCTGTCATTCTTCCTCTTCGATTGTGACTTAGTTGTTCATCTGCTTTATCTCAGATTGTTCTGGAATTCTACGAATGTATCACTCCTTTTTAGTTTCTACTGTATTACAGGATGGGTAACATTTTCGGAAATCTGTTCAAAGGCCTCTTTGGTAAGAAGGAGATGAGAATTCTTATGGTGGGATTGGATGCAGCTGGTAAGACGACAATTCTATACAAGTTGAAGTTGGGCGAAATTGTTACTACGATTCCTACAATTGGTATGTTCTTCCAGAAATTTCCGTCCATTGTGTTCCTTTTAACACTCCATACTCTTTCAACAATCGCTTAGGTTTCAACGTCGAGACAGTCGAGTACAAGAACATATCGTTTACAGTGTGGGACGTTGGAGGTCAGGATAAGATTAGACCTCTGTGGAGGCACTACTTCCAGAACACCCAAGGTCAGTGTGGGCTTTCCTTTCATTTTTTCCTTCGCATCTGTGCACCACATTGAAGAAGAAGTCAGTTTTCGTCTTTAGAACGGAGTATCCATTGATGCTTCTCGTCGTCGGTTCTTTGAACTTCAGTACTTGTAGGACTTATTTTTGTCGTTGATTCGAATGATCGTGAGCGTGTTGGTGAGGCTCGGGAAGAACTGATGCGTATGCTGGCTGAGGACGAACTCAGAGATGCTGTTCTACTTGTCTTTGCTAATAAACAGGTGGGAAATTACTGTATACGGTTTCATATACGCTCACGTAGAGCAGTGGTCGAAGGTGCTTTGCAATACATATGGGATCGATCCCTGCGCGCAAGGCTCACCAAACCTTCCATCTCTCCAGGGTCGGTAAACTGGTACCATACTTGTCTGGGAGGATAGCAGCACTGGCGCGATACATCAGTAGGTCATTGTATAGGCCAGATAGGTGTTCAATCACCTCCAATGATGCTTAATGAAGTCGAATGCATGGCGAATCTTTCAGGGATAGATGAACGCCAACAGCTTTATCATTTAGCTCTTTATATTTTAAATAGCTACCTTTGTATTCAGATACATAAGCACTAAGAAATATTGCAGGATCTCCCAAATGCAATGAATGCAGCTGAAGTTACAGATAAGCTAGGATTACATACACTGAGGAACAGGTCTTGGTACATCCAGGTAAGCATTAAATCCTACGGTAATCCCGAAGCTCATATTTGTCTTACGAAATGGATAGTCAGGTGGAATTCGAGATTTCAAGTGTATATTGAAGAAACTGTCGAGATTATATACTTCAAGTACATTCAGCATGTACCATCGGGATACTTTGTCAGTTTCTTCATAAAGCACTTTTGTAGGCTACTTGTGCGACATCGGGTGATGGCCTTTATGAGGGTCTTGATTGGTTGAGCAACCAGCTGAAGAATAGAGGATGAGGACGTCCTAGAAAATAACTTCACTCGATTCCCTGTAGGTGTGTTACGTCTTTCGTTTAGCGTGTATCGTATATCTTGGTCGAGTTTTTGTACTCGTATTGGAATATTCGTTAGCGATGGACGTCGATTGAGAACAGCAAGATATTCCAGTTCTAATTTTATTCAGCTCCATGATTTAAAAGGTTCACTCGTTTTTGTCTCTTCAAAAATCTATGACCCCCCATACTGGTATCCGAAGGGTCACTAGTTTTCCATCCGTTTGATATACAGTGCTTTGTTTTGAAGCTGTTTCTTAGGCGTTTAGGTGTATTGTCTCAACATCTTATCATGTGTTGTGTATTCCGTTTCTATGTGCTACACCTAAACTTGACCGTCGTTTCGTCTAACCAATTCTTTTTCTTTTGTAAACGTGATGATTTGACCCCGCAGAAAGAAGATTGTCACGCCAACTGTGTTAACTCGTATTTATTTATTTTCTCATGATTGAATAATGTTCGCTTGAAGTTTCTCTAATGTTAGCAGGTGAATGATTAAATTAAGAGGAACCAGTTATTTGTTCGACGTTTTTAGTTTATTTCATGAATAGTGTTGAACAAGAAATGTTTAGCGATTGGAATGGCACTAGACACGCCAGATTTATGGCACGGTCGAAACCTCGTGCCCAGTGCATCACACATGGTCCGTTTTCCCCTCGAAGGCGTCCATTTAAGGAACACAATAATATTGCCAACGGCATTGATCTACGGAGCACAAATCGGCATTGAACCCAGTTAAGCTGAGGCTGTAGTATAAATCGCGAACTTTTCTATTTGCTACCTATATTTTTTTCATGGCAGGGTATGATGTGCGGACCGCAAGGGTGTGCAGTTGGGATCGAACGTCGCTAACACCCTTTTCCGGAGGCTAAAGTGTTCACGACCACACCATGTGTGTCATTCGTTTCGCCTCTTTTTCAGTCGTGATTTATAGGCGCTATAAAACGTAAAGCAACCAAAAACAAAACTGTAGCGCCTATAAAACACGGTTGAGAGGAAGGCGAAACGAAGGTCACGCATGGTGTAGTGTTGAACACGTTAGTGCCCAGAAAGGGTATAAGCGAAGTTCGATACCCGCCGGAGATGCTTGCGGTCCGAAGGTTTGCAAATATCTCAGCGTCGTTCTAGTTGTATTTCACGTCGTACCCTGCCGTGAAAAAAAATAGGCAGTAAATAGAAAACTGGTTACAGTGTTTTTGTATTCTAAAACTGCGTTCTGAGTCCTATCAGTTTCGCTTGGCGGAAGCATCACCTGGTGACTCACAGTATCCATTTTATATGTTTTAACATGGAAACGAGAGGGATTTTAGCAATTGCTCAAGTAACCATTTTCTTTGTGAAATTGACCTTGTAGCGCCTTTTCTTAGAATTTATGTGGGATTTCGCAGTGCCGGTGTCACTTACCGGGGACATTCAGTCACATCAATTTAAGAACGGAGAATTATTTTGGTTTTCTCGCTGAATTTAGAATGAGAACGTCGTATAAGTAGCTTGATTTTGAAGCTGTGGTAATGAACTGTTTAGATTCTACATGGCAATATTCTTACACAAAAAAGGAATTTGCGTCCCAATAGTTGCCAATAATATCGTGGATGTTTGGACATTGAAGATCATTGGATGAAAATGTCCAAAAAATAAAAAGCACTCTTATAAAACTGTGATTTTAGGGTCGTTAGGTACGCCTAGTAATTTCGTATCACATAAGGGTGTGGCGTGTGAATACATCAAGAAATATGTGGTATGTTTGATAATCTGTTGTTTTTTTTTGCAAGGAAATTACTATTCAATAATTTGTGGTAGATGGTTACTTATTGACTGGAATACATGATCCGTGAGCCATCTCAAGTATTATAGGCAGTAGCATATTTTCTTTTCGGGTCATTACTTCGCGATTATCGTTAATGGCTGCGTATTGTTTAAGGTATAGTGGTCTGTCTATGTTTTTCTGTTGATGCGTCATCTGGATCTCGAACAAGACAAATTTTGATGAACTGAGCTACATATTCCAACGGGATGTCCCGGTGAAGTTTCAGAAGACATCGTTCTGGCTCTATGTGGATGGTACGCAGAACATTTCACTTGGTTGAGGTGTTTCTCCAAGCTTTTGCTGCATAGTGGGCCGCTAGGAGTAGTGTTAAGTCGAATAGGTCAGCGTGGAATTTCGCATCCATTGAGGTGTCGGTGGCTTCTGTTTCTCTAATCGGAGAACTTTCAAAGTCGATTAGCTCACCTCGGCACCGTGGGTTTTCTTCCAATTTATGCGTAGACCAATCCTTTCGCTTCGTTTAGTTCATCGTCTCTGCTTCACTTGGGCTCTTTGAGATGTGAGATGATGATGATGTATCATCAAAACGTGGGCTTGATAGTTATTTGTCATCAATGCGTATTCCCTTCTTGTCCTAACTGAGCAAGTTCATTAGCCACTACAATGCCGCCGTAAACAACTTTCACGAGATTTCTCTCTCTGACCCCGGTCTCCATGGGGATAGTAAGGAGTCGGTGAAAAACCTTTACTTTTGTAGCGAAGTTACTATGGCAGTTAGCTAATGTGCAGGGCGAGTCCACTCCTTGGTCATAAAGTGATGTTTGGATTCTTGTCATTTAATCGCTCACAAACGCACTTTCGTTGTTGACAAAGGTTATGGCAAAGGACAGATGGTGTTACCGACATACTGCTCTAACGCGAGATACATTTTGTATTTGGTCCATGGAATAAAATCTGTCGAAATCCTGCTTGATTAACTGTGTTGGCTCATCAGATATCCTTGATATGGGCAACAGGATAATATTCGGGAATAACTGCCACGACCGACTTTCTATTAACCTCGGCATTGATCAAGCAATTTTCTTCGCACTTTTGTTGAGCAAACGCGAGGTGTTATTACTCTTTGTTCACGACCAAGCTGACGTTTCGGCGGACTTCGCCTTCCTCAGAGCCGCTTCCTATGAGGTTTCTACTAAGTACTTAGTGTATCGATATATATATATATATATATATATATATATATATATTCGTGCAATTTCCCAAGGTCGAGTTTCTGTTAAACTCGGCGTTGATAAATAATTCGCTATTTTATTAGCGAACAGATAAAAGCTTACTATTTTACTATTTATTTATAGTAGTTGTCGCTTAGTTAGATTCCACCTTCTTTAAGCCTGTAAACGTCAATGATTGCAATCTAATCGGCCAAAGACATCCGTAACCTCACAAGACCATGAAACCTGAATTCCAGTCGCATTAGATGTAAAACAATTGCTTCGCACATTCATCGTTTTTTCCTTCAACGGTCTGTTGCTGGAACTTATTAGGAGCCGTGTTAAACATGTATTTGTATCACGTTTCAAATTTCTTCTCCTCTCGAGCGACTCCTTGGCGGTGGTGAAGGTTTTTTATCCAGATTTTTGGATTGAAGAACTGAAAGTTGTTCCGCCCAATTTGGAGCCCTTCGATAAGCCACTTGTAGTGCTCTGGCAGATCTTCCGCAATCCGCTAGTTATGTATGGACAGGATTTCGTTTAAATGTTTCCTTCATATACGGTTTCGCTATTTCGGCTTTGGTGAGAACTTATCACAGCTTATGGCTGAATCGAATCTTCGCACAGCTGTTGGACCCGGTACAGAGTGACAAGACTACGAAGATATCAAACAAGAACCATCTTATCTTTATGAGAAAATGATTGATTTTTACATGTGTTATATTATGGAGCGACTCCGATCGAGTAGTTGAGCGGCGAATTGTTTTAGAAAGATGGATTTCCTTGGGAAAGGCATACTGTGGGTAGGAGTCCAGTAAAAGGTTCCACCATATTTTCCCATTTCGGATTTCCTGATCCTGCATTTGTTGTCGACGGTAGCGAGTGGTAATGGTGTCGCTCAATGAGTGGAAGGCGCTGGTTCAACTTAGTCTCGAGTCACTAGGCATCCATCTCTGGGAAAATGGGAAACCGGTAGGAGACTTGTCTGTGTGTTTCGTGCAGTTCGCAAAATATGGCAAATTCCTGTTGCGAAGACGTAGAAACACCCAAACACGGCTCTCTCAGATTGCAATGAGAATTAACCACTATTCAACGACATTAATAAAGAAGAGCAAAAGTCCTCAGCTAGCGGGTGAATTGATCTGCAAAATCTGAAGTCTTTCATGGATAGTAAATGGAAGAAAAAACAACAGAATTCTAGAAATGGTTGCATGCAGAGATAATGTGATGTCAAGTTGTGTTAAATGTAAAAATATAAAAAAAACGAAGCTCTTACGGCACGTGGACTGAAGGCAGAAGACGACCAAATGGTGGGAAAAGAACTCGCATACAAGACGGACAACGTAGGAATGGAGGACAAAGCCGGCGCCACTGACATTTAATAACATGATTGTTTCACCTCGCAAGACGAGAGTCCTGCTAATCATCGTGGCTGGGAGGTGTTCCTGGTTGTCGGGCTGCGATGTATAGCGGGGAGATTCATCCACCTAGTAGGGTCTTTCAAGCTGAGGCGAAGTACGGCATTTCCGTCAGGAAGCTCAGCTAAGAACCAGGATCCACCACTGTCCTGGTATCAAACCTATCAAACCAGCCGCATGCTGACAAATCTCCCTCTGATCCACAAAGGCTGGGACTGCCTGCGGTGGTGAAGATCGTGGGCAGACTTTAGCTTGGTTGACCATGGGATTCCCGGGAGCCACATTGACTAAACCAGCTAAACTCCGAGGAGATGGAAATTATGCTGAAACCCGCATAACCAGTGGGGACGGATCATCTAAGTATCCAAATAAGTAAGTATGTCGCTCTTCCTAATTTTTTCTTACAGAGCGATCACATGGAATCTAATAAGAACTGCTACTTCGAGAAGAGCTTGAAGATCGGTGTTTGAGGAAGCTGTTCTGGAATCATATGTGCAGGGCGAGAAGCACTTTGATGGCTTGTCGTGGACGTGCTTTTGATCAGATTCCAATGACATACTTCTCAACCCGAGATTTAACCGCCATTCATCGATTGTCTTACCGCCTGACGTTATAAATGGGAACGCCCAGTGTGTTGGGTTCTGAAGCTGGTTTATTGCTTATTGGACAATTTCTTTCCGGGGTCCTGACATTGCCTTTCTAGGGTATTTTCAAGTCCTCAGCACAATGTCGCTCTGAAGAAAGCTTTCTATTACCAGAGATATCTTAGATTAATCGCAAATTGGTTCGGACTTGAGGTGTTAGTATTATACAACACTTTCATCTTGGACTTCTTTCATAAGAAACTCCAACTTTTAGGTTCAACTGTTTAAGATCTCGAGCGCTCACAATCTTGAAACGAGGGATCTTTTATTCTGTATCCTATGAAGTTACCTACCTTCTCTACTAGGTCTTCAAATAACATAGATACCCCAAATGGGTTCGAGCCGACACGGGTTTCAATCCACGATGATTGTATTGCTGACTGGCTTATGGCACTCATTGAGATGAATCGACCCCCGTAATCATTGCATAAACGAGTGACGTTCTGACCTAAGGTGATAGTGGACAGATTTTGTATCAATTTCTTGTGCATTACATGTAGATGACTAAGAGGTAAAGTCTGCATCTTCGTTAATTATCACTATTTTGGTGTTTTAGTTCTGTTTGCATAGTTTCTGTTTTTTTTCTTTCACATAAGGCTAAAATTTCTTACTGTAGTTCCAAATTTCGTATGACAAACTAGTAATGGGTATCATTGAAGGAGGGTTTCTCAGTTCTCCCATTTTTAATCATTTTTGAAGAGTGTGCACACCTGCTTTAAATGGTTTAACATTATGTTTCAAATGATATTGGTGATTAATTCTTCTTCAACCACGTTTCTGATTTCTCAAGAACTCATGATTATTTCTTGATCATTAGAACATTAGAGAAGCCAAGAATTTTACAGACGGTATATAAGACATTTCTAAGAGCAGATTTTACTTTGACCTCAGCGTCAATACCCAGTAGTTTCTTAGATGATTAAGATAATACGAATTGTTTTCTAAAACCTCACTTGGCCGCGTTTCGGCGACTTCGCTTTCATCGAAGCAGCAACAGTTCGAGTTGATTGTCCACAGCCGATCGTTCGGGCCATGTAGATCGTCGTAGTCGTGTCGAGAAAAATGCAGAACATCGTTCGACTGAAGAACATAACTAGGCAGTGCCGATGGTTGTTGATTCACACTTCCGTTTCAAACGGTGCATTATTTTATGCAAATCAACACTTTCACTGTTGTCCTGTGAAATCATAATTGGTGAGTTCTCACCACTATTTGTGTTGGTTTGTATTGCTTCCCTTCTTCTTTGTTACCCAGGACTTTGTGTGTGTGTGTGTGTGTGTCGGTGTGTGCGTGTGTATGTCGGTGTGGGCTTATGTGTGTGTGTGTGTCATAGGCGTGGGTGTAGGTGTGCAGGTATAGAGGTGGCTCTAGGTACCATAATTATCGTTAACTTCACTCGCCTGTACCGTTTCATACAGGACGAAAGTTGATCTGCTATCATCATCCAATATGATCTTTTTTAGCGAGCAATGAGTCCTGTAGTGGTCAGTACTTCATTTGCTGGTTCGTAGCACGGCAATATCATTAACTTTAACTTTACAGCAACTAACCTACTTTAATAACTTTCACTACGCTTCGTTGTTGCGAACAGCTTAGGACCTTCAACTCGGATCAACGTAGCTCTGAAGAAGTAGCCGAATGGAAGTTTTTCACATTAACCTCGTATTGCCTCAATCATCTATTATAGAAAAGTGTTCTAAAGTCGCCTTTATTATTTCTAGCTCTCTCATGAAGATGTCCACTGTTTGGGATCTCCGGCAAACTGAAGAATGAACATGCTTACTAACTTAACGCACGTTCCTAGAAATTTCCGTTTCACCCGGCTTTTATAAGACTAGTCGTCTACGTAGGACGATTGTTGAAGCTCTGCTATATCTACCTATGGAAGAGATTGACTGTCGCCGATTCTATGCAGACTTCGTCACAAGGTGAATGCGGTGTGTTTTCGGGCGTTTATCGTTAAGAAGCAAAAGTTCCCAACCCAACGAAGACGAATTTCTCATTGGCGATTGGAAAAAGGGGAGTGGGTTACCGAGGTAACTGCAATCTTGCCAATCATCCAGTCCTTAGGTGGACGTGTTCGGGTTGTTCCCCTACAGAGATAAATGCTGCGAGACCATCAAACGTTGTGTACGATCACAGAATGAGCTGAGCACACTTCTCATCGAATACCGTAATCCGTTGATCAATACGGATCGAATTATTTTACGAAACTGCCACACAGGAGAAAGAACTATGTGTTACTTTTTGGAATCCAGTATTACTGTTTAGTTTTAAATGCATTTGATGCCCACAGTCATTAAATTCTAGTAGTCTTCGTTATTGTGGGTGCCCTTGCTCAGTCAGGTTCTCCGATTACAATTCAAGCTTTCGTTTTTGTATACTGGATGTGAACATTTTTTATTCGTACACTTTTTGTTCATTTAATGTTCTACCTGTGTGTTTAGCCAGCTGGTAGGCAACTTTCCTTTGTCACTGAATCCCAGAAGTGTTTAGTGTATAAGGCCAGCTTAATGATCAAGCTTCTTGCGGCGAATAAACTGCATTTTTCTACTATTTGATACGCTTTGCCTTGTTTCCTCTTGCTTAACTCGCATAGATTGTTGCTTTATGAGAATTATGAAAATTACCGACAACTACACTGGGTAGAGGCGTTATGGAGCCAAGGCAGTAGTTCCAAGAAAGGTGGTTGTATATGATGTTAACTATCAAATCGCATTCATTTAATAATATACAAATCACATGAAATAGAATGTGATAAGATAAGTGTGATGAAATAGTAAAAATGGAGTATTCTTCACGTTGTATTAGGCTGTTCAGAAATAAATGGGCGTTTTAAACTATATTTTTCAAAATGTCATAACTTGCTTCAAGCAAAACTTTATTGATAAAAATAAAAACCATCCGAATTTATGTACACATTAAAACAAGTTCACTTATTCCAGTTGCATAACATTCTTGAGTTTTGGAGCAATGAATTCGTTGAAAGCATTTTTTGAGTCATTGTTATTGGTGAGGCATTTCTCGAGCAGGAAGTTGTTAGGGTGCTTGAAGAAGTGATAGTCGGCAGGCAAGAGGTCTGATGAATATGGTGGATGAGGTAAAGTTTCGTAGCCCAAATCGTTCAACTGCTGTAGCGCTGGTTCCGCAATGTGGGGTAGACCGTTGTCGTTGAGATGGATTGGTCCTTTTCTGTGGACTAAAGCCTGTCGTTATTGTTCGAGCTTACGGTGCGTTTCGTCGATTTGTTGGCAATTCCTCTGTAATAGTTTCACCCGTATTCAAAGCTGTGAGGAATCAGCCCGGCTGCAGACCACCAAACGGTCACCACTACCGTTTTTTGGTGCAATTTCGGCTTTGGCAAGTGCGGTGGAGTCTGATGCAATCCAACCATTGAGCTGATCGTCGCCGGTTGTCGTACAGAATCCACTTTTCGACGCACGTCACAATTCGATCAAGGAAAGTGTCGTCTTTGTTGTGCAGTATAGTAGCAGACGACATTCATCGGGACATCCGCAGCCTTCCTCATCTTCGAGGTCGAAATCACCAGATCGGAATTTTCGGAACCATGTTGGCACTGCTGGTTCGCCAACATTGCGTTAACCCTAAATTTCATTAAAGTTTCGAGCCACCTCTGCTGCACTACGACCGAGTTCAAACCTCCTAAAAGAAAATTTGACGGAAATTCATTTTTGACGTCTAAAATTACAAAGCTTAAAATTGATAATAAAAAAAAAAGAAAACTTTTGAAGGCATATAAAGAAATGCTCAGAAAGGGTATAAAACCGACTTTCTAATAATTTTAATGTTGCAAGGTACAAAGAATATTTTATTGGTAAAAGATACATCAAAACAACAAATATTTTGAAATATTCATTTATTTCTGAGCAAAGTAATAGTAAAGTTTGTGATATAGCAGCTGTTAGTGGAAATTAGGTCTTCGAGTCAGTCGTCGGCACCTTACGATCTTTGAGTAGGATGCTCGACTTCATAGAAGTTGCCACGCGGGACTTTTTCGAACTTGTCGCAGAGCAATATTTCAAACTTGGGTAATTAAACCGTTTATAACAATAATAATTCAAGAATAACGAAATATAAACATTGGTACAATACAGACGGCAATATTGTATGATGATCAATAAATGAGGGTAATGCGGGTTAGTATCTTTGCTATAGGTACAGAGCTACATGACAGCAATGTTAATATACAACAGTTACCACATACAACAAGAGAGAACACCTTGGATTGACTACAAGGTGCATTACAGATGATGAACAGAGGGGGCGAATACGGTATTGACGCACAGGGCTCTTTAAATATCTTCTGGAGGAGGCGTTGCTTTGGCACAGGTCCAGAACCTTTACCGAAAACACCCATCAGCTTGCGTCTCCAGCTCGCCTGTGATCAGATGACTGAGGACGGTTTGCCGGACAGCTTCAAGCCTCTTTGTGTTACCGTACCGGTGATGGTTTGGAACAGATGCGGCACACAAAAGGTTCCGATTGTATAAAAAGAGTGTGGCTCACAAAGGATGTTTACGACAACCAAAGTTTCTCTCAACGAAGTGAAAACGTTTACATGCTGCAAGATCGCAAAACGATGCTATAGGCCACGAATATGGTTGCCACAGATCTACGATATGATGAATGAATGAATGAATAGTAACTATTCTGGCAATAACTCGAAAAACCGACTTTCTATGAACCTGGGCATAGATAGTACGCATAGAGCACAAAAGCACAACGGCGATGATTTTGAAGTGAATGTTCGGATCCTAGCGCAGGAATCAAAAACATCAACGCGCAAAACTCTTGAGGCGTTTTGGATAAATTTCAAAAATCCAAAGATGAACCGGAAGGACGAATGCCTCACTATCACGCGTGACCTGGCGCCCTATTTCAAAATGATATTTTGACCCGGGGTGTGCCTTGCTCGCGACTCCACGTGAACTACGTGTGGGCCAGTCCCGCACGTAACATCACGGTGAGTGGCATTTCTGTTCAATATGGCGTCTATTTGAAAGTTTGATCTTCATTAATACTTTAACCTTCTTTTCCACCGAATAATAAAAAGTATTCTAACATAAAGTACGTCCAGGCTCTGAGGAAGGCGAAGTCGCCGAAACGTCAGCCATCGATTAATAACATCAAAAACGACGACAACGAAGATCTGTACCAACCACGCGTCAGCTTAAAAAATCAGTTTATAAGATCACATAAATAAATATTCTGGCAATAGTTGCTATATGTGAGCATGATGTGGCCGGGGAATGGCCGAAACTCGTGTAAAACGTTCATTGAATTTCTCTGGTCAATTTAACAATACAGTAGTAGGGCTAAGTTTAACAAAGATCTCACTGTGAGATAAGGATAAAATAAAAAGCACTGGAAACGGGACTGCATCGGTGCTTGTATTAGTGAAGGTAGGTAGCAACTAAATAGTTACGAAGGGAAGATTTTATGTCCAGAGCATTAAAAAATAAGACTATACATTATGGATTAGGATGGAAATATTCTGAGCGATGACGTTGAATGTTGCGAACATTTTGAATGAGAACAATTCTTCCGGAAATGTTCGTGGTCGTAAGATGATGCAAGTCAGAAAATAGTGGACGAACAACAAGAGAACAAAAGCAACGACATCAGATTGGTCGAAAACTTTTAGCCAAGCGACCTTACTCGTCTGATTTATTGCTCACTCTTCAAGATATTTGAGTGTACATCTCAGCGAAGACAAAACTCCATACTGAACGCGAACCGATGATGTTTGAACAGTTGTGTCTCGAAATGAAAACTAAATCAGTTTGTTTGAAGAAGTGAGTTGAAATTAGAAACGTTCTTAGGTGGACAATAAAGAAAAACTTTGAAATTGATTCCAAAACAGTTATTGTACTCGACCGCAACCCATATCGAACCTGCAGAGAAGGCTCCTTAAATTTTTGAGTTGATGTTCGGTGCAAGATGGTTCGTGTCGTTTGTAGAAGGGTTCGCCCACCTGCACATGGATCGAGGGAGTTCTCGGCTAAACTATTTTGCGACTCTTTAACTTACTCGAGTTCTGAACCAACTGAACGAACTGATGTAGCTCATCGTCGTTCCATAATAGGTCTAATTAAATCGAATGGTCAACGTCTTGCTATATCGTTAACCTTAGATGAATTTGTCTCAAAGTTCTACTGTTGTTAGCATTTAAGAACACTTTCCTTCTTCAAAACTACAACGATTCAAGTCGAGTGTCCACAGGCGTTGTTTTATGTTGTGGTCTGAGTCTTTGCTGTCAATCCGAATCGAATAGATTGAGGCCCAGCACAACTATTAGAGAAAATCGAACGACTTCGTTAAAGATCAGCGGAAAAAGCGAATGCAACTACCCTACTCTATGGTAAAATCCAGAACCATCAATATCCTTGGTTTGGTATTCCACTCGCTGCTACCGGCTCAGTGATGAACGATGAATATTCTTGGCCAATAGAATGTTTTTTAATGAATGTACAATTGATCCCAGTGCGAAGCTGGCCTAAACACATATATATACATATATATATATATACATATATATATATGTATATATATATGTATATATATATGTATATATATACATATATATATATACACATATATATATATATACATATATACACACATATACTACTTAAGAGAATTATGAGTTTGAATTGGTGAGGCTTATGGTTTTGTCATGGAAATAACAACACTTTACAGAAGCTAACCGTTGAATACGACATTTCCCTGAAGATGTTATAATTTCGCTCAGCGGTTCATGATGAATAATTCTTTCTACTTCTGTTCAGCAAACACGAGGTGTTATTTTATTTCTTTATTTACATACAAGCTGACGTCTCGGCGGATTTCGCCTTCCTCAGAGCCTGGGAAGGTCAAGTTGACCTCACTGTACCCTGCCAAGCACGTCCATAACCAAACAAAGAACACGCCAAACCAAGATTTCAATCACATTGAACACAGTTCCGCACACTCACTGCTTTCTATGAGGTTTCCACTCAGTATGTCACGTAGAGACCAACCGCACAGAAATCACATGGAAGTATAATGTGCCCCACCCATCAGAATAGCAGTCTTATATACTGCCCTATATCACGCGTGATAATGAGGCATTCTTCCCTGCGGTTACTTTCGGATTTCTGGAATTAATCCAGAATGCCTCGAGAGTTTTGCGCGCTTGTGTTCTCGATTCCTGTGAGAGGATCGTGACAAGTACTTCAAAGTCCTCCGCGTTGTCTCTGGTACCTATGCGTGCCTAGTGGGTATTTGGTTCATGTCCGCCGGCTAGGTGTTCTTTCATGCGGACACAGAGTGGTCTACCCGTTTCGACAGAGCATTCGTCTCCGCACGCCTTACAGGAGATCAGATAAACTGTACCCGAGCTCATGCAATCACCATTTTCACCATTGGGGCAACTTGTACAATTTTGCGTTGCACATGGACGGTCATATAGGCGGTTACGAACTAGCTCGCGCCTAAGATTATTCGGTGGCATTTCAACTACGTTTACCGAATTCTCTATACCCGCCCTTCTTAAGCAGCCTTTTAAAGCTGCACTTACATCATTTGAGATGAAGGGTAGGATAAACGGGACCTTTCCATCGCTAGAGTTGTTGTTTGGAAGCCTAGGATTTCCCCTACACCTATCCTGAGCTACAGTTTCGTAGCCATTAGAAATGGCTATTTGCCGTGCCAAGTTCCGGGACTCCTCTCTCTGCTCTCTTCCCGTGCACACGTTGGTTGCTGTTCGAAACATGCTTCTTATAAGCGCCCTTTTCGTGTGAGATGGGTGAGAGGAGAGGTAATGAACCAAGATGTTTTTACTACTTGGCTTTCGGTACCACTGTAAAATGTAGCCATTTTCTGACAGGTGAATTTGTACGTTTAGGAATGGAAGCCATTTTTTTTTCGGCTTTTCTCGGGTGAACTTGATATACTCTGACTGTGCATTTAACAACTCGAAACATTTGTCCATTTCCTCTTGTGTTGAGCAAAGGACAAAGCAGTCGTCTACATACCTACAGTAGAGTGGCGGCCCGAGATCAGTCACCGGTGCTTCCACCTTAGACATAAACGCAATGGTAAGACGTCGTTGTCTCATTGCCAACCCTCTTATTTGAGCGTAGTACTTTCTGGACTATCTGAAAATTGAGCAGCTCAAGCATTCTTTTAAGAGTGTCATAAACTGCTCTATCTGCTCTATCTCTCTCCCCAATGGTAAAGACGGTGATTGCATGAACTCGGGTATAGTTTATCTGATCTCCTGTAAGGCGTGCGGAGGCGAATACATTGGCGAAACGGGCAGACCCCTCTGTGTCCGCATAAAAGAACAAATAGCCAGAAAACATAAACCAAATACCCCACTTTGCACGCATAGGACTCAGAGACATAACGGGGAGGACTTTGAAGTACGTGTCACGATCCTTGCACAGGAATCGAGAACACAAGCGCGCAAAACTCTCGAGGCGTTCTGGATTAATTCCAGAAATCCGAAAATGAACTGCAGGGAAAAATGCCTCATTATCACTCGTGATATTGGGCAGTATATAAGCCTGTTGGGCATTCTGATGGGATGGACACATTACACTTCCATGTGAATTCTGTGCGGTTGGCCTTCACGCGACATACTCAGTGGAAGCCTCATAGAAACCAATGAGTGTGCAAGGAAGCTATTCTGCGTTCAATGTGATTGAAATCTTGGTTTAGCGTTTTCCTTGTTTGGTTATGGAGGTTTTTGGCTTAATAGATTGCTGTCAACTTGACCTTTCCAAGCTCTGAAGAAGGAGAAATCCGCCGAAACGTCAGCTTGTACGTAAATAAAGAAATAAAATAACACTTCGTGTTTGCTGAACAGAATTAGAAAGAATTATTCAATCAATGCCGAGGTTAATAGAATGTCGGACGTGGGAGTTCATTATGAATTGGTCGAGGGGAAAAGGTGAGACCACCTTTTCCTCTTAGTGTGCGAAAAATTTGCATGGATTAACAGGCCTCGAGTATTTACGGTAGTTGCTTCGCCGAGAATCGAATGCACTCTCAAGTGAAATTGGTGCTGGCAGTCCACGTATGCCTGAATTGAGTGGCTAGATAAAAGATCTAAGTGATTAGCAGGATGCTTCAATAAAAATAGTGAGCAAATTCGTTTTCAAATTCGAGCAAGCTACACTGGCATGGAAGGAAAGCAGTGCCGCAAGCAACATATAGTACACTTAAACAAAATATGCAAGTAGAGAAATGTCGTCTCCATCTTATACTGTAGGTGGGAGTACCAGCCAATCTCACCATGAGCAAATTACATGGCTATGAATGTACCTCATCAGTAGAATGTTCAAGTCTTTAGAAAAAGAACTGACGAATCTATTGAAAAATTGATTGAAGAGCTTGGTAGGAATTGCAGGGCCATCAGTTTTCCCTATGACCATCTCTTCAAAAAATATCCCATTGACGGCAAGCCATACTTTTCTGAAGTGAAAGCCTATGCCCGCGTGAGCGGAATATTTCCAAGCTTAATAGGATTCAATTTTCTATTTTCCTAAGCGTTTGAAGAAAAAAATTTATGCCGCTATTTACAAGTTGGAAGTGGTAATTCTTTTTTATTTGCTAGCTACTACGATTTTTATGGTAGAGTACAATGTGAAATACCGCATCATTGTCTGTGCTGAGATATTCGGGAAACTTAGATCCCGGGCCAGATCAAACCACGATTACCCTTTCCGGGGGGTTGCGCATTACACACTGGTATGATTATTATGTTCTTCTAATGTGATTTGTTGTTAATGTGTTGGTAAGGTAATAACAAAGTCCTTACGGTCCCACTAGTTCTGTACTACTAAGGATCAAATGGCTCAGCGTGTAGTGATGTGTTAACCTTGCGGGATGTGTGAATACAGGATAATTTGTTTAATTATACGACCCGACACAACCACAATGATGCTAAGTATCTGCAAAGCTCCGGACCGCAGGGTTTGCATTGGGGAATGAACGCACTAGTACCCTTACCCAGGGCACCACCACACCATGCGGGTCCTTCGTTTCGCCTTTCTCTCAACTGATTTTCTATTAACCAGTGCCATTAGCAGTTAACCGTCAAAAGAATTGATTTGGGGAACTCAAATCGGTAATAATCCCAGTTAGGCTGAGGCTGCAGTCGAAATCACAATGTTAACTTTTTATTTACTGCCTATTACAATTTTGGACGGCAGGGTATTCTGTGTGATACAACCACAATGGCTCTAAGATATTTGCAAAGCTTCGGACAGCAAGGACCCGCATGGCGTGGTGTTGAATGCGTTTGCTCTCGGAAAGCGGAAAAGCGCATTCGTTCCCAACTGCAGACACCTTTGCTCCGAAGTTTTGCGAACATCTCGGCATCATTGTGGTTCTATCACACAATACCCTGCTGTGAAAAGTTGTAATAGGCAGTAATAGCATTATATGACCCGACTTCAGATACTGCGCGGAGCCCATCATTTTTTTCCATGTGCTTCGTAGTTTCCCATTCGTTATCGGTAACACTGATAGATCGTTCCCAAATTTTTACCTACAACAATCGTCGGCTTTTCGGATGGTAGAAAATTTCTCTAACCCAACTCTTGCACCAGTCCACCGACTACGGAGGGACGGAAGGCATAGTTGGCCTGTGCTACCTTAAATCAGAAACCATTTATGTACTTCACGACATACCCCACCATTCTTTCAGCGCCACGGATTTGCTGGATAGCTGAAAAGTTGTCGAAAATAAAGAGTCAACGAAAAAGCGACGCGTACATTTTCTTTACGGCCCCGTTTTGTCGATCACTGCTTCTAATGTCACACGAGCTTACAAGACTATATCTTAAATGATATATAATGGTAATGGAATCGCCTTATAGACACCGTATCGAACAATGATGGATACTTAATCTGTGCACAAAAAATGAACGATGTCGGTGAAGACTTTTATGTTGAAGGGTAAAAGCTCTCGGCGTTGATCAATCGCTGAGGGATGCGCCATGCATTCGACTTCATTAAGCACCGTTTGGAAGTGATTAAATGTATACCTAACCTTTATAATGACTCGCGGTGGCTAACCGATGTATCGAGCCAGTGCTGCTAACCTCCCAGACAAGTCTGGTATTAATTTTCTGACCCAGGGCCATGGAAGGCTTGGTGAGCCATGGGCGCGGAGACCGGCTCCACGTGTGTGTTGAATGGCGCCTCCGACCACTGCGCCATACGCGCCTACTCTTATAAACGTTGTAAAAATTCGAATATCTGGTAGGGCAACCTGTTATATTTAGTCCACCAAAAATTCCCACCTTTACTGGAGACAAATTATTTACTTAGAACGTTTTTGACACTGGAATCCAGAAGGAGACAAATGCAGTCTCACATTCTGCGAAGAAAATGCGAGTGCTGGGTGCGTGTGGAAGAAAATAAGTCAACAAAAGAATAAAATTTCCGGGAAAGTTTAACGTCAATGTTTTAGCAATTTCGTTTCCCTCATGAGAGTCCTGCAAGAACGACAGCAGTATTCAACAACGATCACAGCAGTACAATAACCCTGTTGGTGGTATTTTCAAGTGGTAACTACTATTTTCCACTGCCTACGCTTCATGGTTTCGAATCACAGAATTTTTTGCAAGATTTCAACCTATATCTCTAAAGTTTTATCTCAGCTCACAGTAAACTTTAATAATCAAAATGAGTACCACTGGAATCTAAAAATTTTAACAGCGAGAAATATGCTCACTTACCCGAGCTACTTAAAATTCCTCTGGAAGCAACGAAGTCGTTGAAGGAAACATCGGCCTTGGCTTGATTTCCGGAGCATGCTCGCACGAGAAGTTGTCCAGATTATGTTATCTTTTTTATTTATTGCATATTACAATTTTTCACGGCAGGTTATTAAGTGTGACTCAACCACAATCATGGCTGGGATATTACGATACGGGGGGNGTCCAGATTATGTTATCTTTTTTATTTATTGCATATTACAATTTTTCACGGCAGGTTATTAAGTGTGACTCAACCACAATCATGGCTGGTATATTACGATACGGGTGGTTGCTGATGGCAGCGATCGATAGAACTAGCTGAGAGACAGGCGATAACCTGTCGTGAAAAATTGTAATAGACAGTAAATAAAAAAGAGAACATTGCGATTTAGACTAGAGCTCCAGCTTAACTGGGCTCGTTGCCAGATCGATCCTGTTGGCGAGTGATTGCTGATGGCCTGATCGATAGAACTAGCTGATACAGGCGAAACGAAGGACCCGCATGGTGCGGTGGTGAACGCGTTACTCCCCGGAAAAGACAATAGCGCGTTCGTTCCCCACCATAGACACCCACGGTCCAGAGTTTTGCAAATATCTCAGCAACGTTGTGGGCCAGAGCTTGGTAGTCCACCTCATGCACTGCTGATCGCGCGAAATATGGCGATGTGCCGGAAGCGAGACGTGCTGCCAATTCGTACATCAATTTGTCGATTTTCTTCGACTTCCCAGATACCTTTGGATATTGCAAAACCGACTCTCATTAAGCCTACAATAAAATATCGGTACGTTTTTCCATTATTAAGCTGACACGAGGTTTTTAAAAAGGATTTATTCGACTGACGTTTCGACGTCTTCGACTTTTTCATTTCCGGATTGATTCTATTCGATTGTGCACAACTGGTCTTCTTCGCAATGTGGTTGCTCATTGTCGCATCGAATCAAATCCATGCAGATCATATCGAATGGCGGCAATAGATCGACATTCGTCCTGTAAAAGAAGGCCAGTATTGCGTAAAATTTTTCATTCTACCGGGTTCAACTTGTTGAGACAACGAACAGCAACAACGCGAGGATGACCACCTGTGAATCATCGACTCGGATCAACCCTGCTCTGAAGAAGGCGAAGAGGTCGGAATTTTAGCCGACTAAATCTTTTTCTTTGTCCACCTCATATTAGGTTAATAATTGAGGAAGACATCTTTAGATACTCTAGAACACTTGATATGCTTACACTGAGTTATTGTGCAGGTTTTCGAGTTGTGCGTTTGTATGCATCCGCTAAACCCTTAAATTCATTGGGGTTAGTGGCAGATGAACGTCTACAACTCCAGCCATCTTCACGATCGAAATCCCCACAGCAAAATTTCTCAAGTCAACGTTATACTACACATTCGCCGACACTTCATTGCACCCATACCTCATTAATGTTTCTAACCGCTTACGATATGTACGTCCAAGTTTAAATTCGTAGAAGTATAATTATATGTGATTGGCGTTCTAACAACGATAATTCTTACCCTTACAATTTGCGGAAATATAAATTAAAAGTCCAACTAAACAGAGTGGAAGCGCATAAAATAATTCTAGTTGATACATAATAGTATTGGGCGCGTGTAGCGAGGTGATTTAAGTTACCCTACGATACACCGGTCCAATCCCGTGGGTTCCCTAAGCCTTCTATCATTCCGAGGTCGGCAAATTGGTACCAGATCAGTCTGGGAGAATAGCAGCACTGCTTCGATACATAGTAGGCCATCGTAAGTTAGTGTATAGGCTATATATAAATCTAATCACCTCTAACGATGCTTAATGAGCTCGAATGTATGGCGCATCCCTCAAGAATTGATCAACAGCGAATTTTTACTAGTATTCCATTCGGAAAAAAATACTGCTGAAACGCATATTGGGAAAATAAGACTACAGATCCTGCATTAAATTCCGAACAACCTAATAACAAATAAAGGGAGGGAGGACGGAAGGAGGGCAAATGTGACGACGCCTGGTAGAATGTCTGATACTGATCAGCTCATGTTCCTACGATCCACCATAGGTAGATGTTAGCATTTAGAAGCGTTATGCAGCTTACACTGTATCGCTACATTTTGCATACCTGCCGATTGTTAATTTAATGGGGTGCGTGTAGCGTTGTGGCCGGAGGCATCCTGCAATACGCACAGGATCAATCTCCACGCCCCAGGTCCACCAAGCCCTCCATTCCACTCGTGTCGACAAATTAGTATCAGATTTGTCTGAGAAGATAGCAGCACTGGCTCGATACATCGGAAGAACAACGCGAGTAATTGTAAAGGCCAGATATGCATTCAGTCGCCTCCAACGATGATTAATGAAGTCGAATGTACGGCGCATCCCTCAGGGATTGATCAACGCCGAAAGCTTTATCCTATTCTTCACCTTATTTGACAATGATTCATAACGACTTGTATTGAAATGCAGTTCAGTCAATAACTGAATGAACTCGTCTGTCAAGATTATTTTGTATATTTATAAATGAAGAATAGAGTTATAATAACTATTCTTCAAATAGTTCCTATTTCTATGTTATCTTAAGTCTTCTAAAAAAACTGTTTTACTTGTAATCGTCATATATCTATTCTTGCATATTCTGTAAATTGTCTCTCAACGACCACCTCATGCAGTTGCCTCGCAGGTGACTGGAAAGGGAATCAGCAGCAGTCGGCTGAATGTACTTTCCAGCATCTACCGTCCTAAAGAAGTTTCCGAACAAGCATATGCGCCCTTTCACATGTAGCCCTATCAGATTGTACTAGTAGAAAAAGCCTATAGAACCTCTCCCTAGGCGCTGTCTTTAGTTCCCTCTGGCAAAGCTCTACCCACTACAGAAGTAATACAGACAGCCCAAAGCCTTTCGTCTTCAAGTGTGCGCAGTGTTCGTCTAGTGTAGATCCAGTCCTTTCGTATCGCCTAACTCGTCCATATACTTCGCTCTGCTGTTATTGTTATTATTGCCACTATTATCTTAAAAGTTGTAACCCAACGTTCGACTCAGCGACTTACACGCAAAAGACCCGCGTGGCAGCTACATGAACTAATATTCACGACGACTTGGTATTCATATAAAGTTAGTAGCTCAAGGCCGCAACGAAAGCTCTTTCTAGCCGCAGATATGATGCATATCGCAGTCTTACATTCAATAAGGACCAGCCCTATCCTCACATCTGTATCAAAACCGATAAACCTTTTTATAGATGTTCTAATAGGATATGACAAGGTAATGGTAAGATGATATAAATGGATACTGACATATTAAATAATGAACTGATGAACAACAACATCGTATTCTTCCTGCAAATAGCCGTTCCATATATTCGTGAGCTGTTACCACTTGCAGACTACTCGAGACTATTGTTGACTTCCCTATTTCTATTGTACTACTTCTCAACATCATTCTCACCTCACTTCAATCGCAACGCACTAAAGCAAAGTAGACAGAACTTACATTCCTCCTCTCATCACCAATACAACAAATTTCCCTGTAAACACACAGTCTCAAAGAAATATCCATATAGTTTCCACGAAAACGCGAACATAATATGTATAATATTTTATTCCATCTGATATGAAGAGTATGACAGCACCCGCATCACGTCTGAAATAGTTACGCACCCGAATGAAATCTCTGGAACTGCCCGTAATCGAAGCGAGAACTAGTAAAAATGTCACATAAAACATAACAACAACACATATATAAAACTACCACACGGAAAAAAGGTGCTTTGGCACGTCTCTGATTCCTGGGCTCTTTTTCTATGCCTCTTTTGTTTTTTTTTTCTGTCTTCTATATCCTTCTATTTTTTTATTGGCCCAACACTGACTTCATATATATGTTTTATTGACTGGTGGAGCACTCTTGCTCTCTTTTTTCATGAAAAGACAACAAACATATTGGCATTCAAACAACTCTAACAAGCACTTCAACTAAATAATGCCAATAATGGTATAAAAATCAAAGGAAAGTCGAATTGTCAGATTATGGAGTCTAAAATCAATGACAGTTCACGATAAGACCAGTATCACAACCTACTGCAGTAGACAGTGATTTCCATAACAGATCACAAATTTGTACAAAGAAAGGACGGCCAGCGGAGTGTGAGTCCAAATTGGTCGCATACCATAGCATTTCAAGACATCTACCTCGTAGTATTCTCGAGTACTGACACAACAGCGAATTCTCCTCACGATTCATCATCAGACTAAAACATAGTCCATACAAAATAATATACACAACATCAAAAAACTATTTTCTTTCGCAGAAAGCTGAATATTCTGAAGAAATCCATCCACAAAGTTATAATGGTCCCGTGAGTTAAGAAATACATGTGTTAACCTACAAAAAGCCAATTTCAAGGCTAATTTTTGCACTAAGTTTGAATAAACTTATGACAAACCTCGCTCTGCGCAATACCGGCTAACATCTTATCCGCACTGAGTGGCGAATTTCCAGTTGAACCTTCCAGTCGCCGATGACACGTGATATCTAGTACCACTCCTTTGAATAAGCATCCGTCCGCAACAGCCTGAAAGAACATGGAACTGAACTAATATCCTCACTCTAATAACAAATTCCGTAATAAACAACTATAGCAACCTGGTCAGCATCTTCCTGACTCCGGAAAGTAAGAAGTACAACCGGATCATCTCCTTGCTCTACTTCTGTATGCATTATATCACCATATTTCTTCATTTGCTCCACTAGCTTATTAACATCGGCAGCCTAACAAATAGTTCTTTGAAGAGAAAGCTAAGTTAGCAAATTTGCAAGCGGTAGCTACCTTAACACCTTTGACTACAACAGTGGCGGAGCCTCGTTTCGCCTCCACTTCGTCTCCTAGAAGCATAAGTGCAAGCGAAGGAAAAAAATTAAAAGACAATACCCAGGGATAAACATCAGAAAGCGATCATCGTAAATAAGCTTCTCACCGTTATTAGTTTTTCGCTTCAGAAGGTTTTGGGTTGGAACAACTGCTACTTTTCCTTCCTGAGAAGGGGACTGCGGACAAACGTTGGTTCTTCCATCATGATCTAATCTCTTACTTGTTTTACTCTGCTCTGAGGAAATCACTTTCTCCAACTCGACAATATTATCACTGTAGCTTTGTAATTTCGTCGAAAGGTCATAAATCTGTAAAGAATAACCCTACATTTGGCACAACCATTAATTCTGCTTACTTTTGAAATCCGCCTAGAAATACCAACGAGCAATTCGTTATCTTTTACATCTCCAAAATTACGTTAAAAAAATCTGTACGCTTTACAAACTGCTATTAACGACAGCGTTAACTTTATGGTTAAAATTCGAAAAGCTAAAAGAAACATACAAAAGGATGGGCATGCATATTAAAATATATGCCTACCTCTTTTTTACCAGATGTAATTTTATCCATGAGTTTTTTCACAATGCCCAAATGCCGTTTCTTTTCTGGAGGCTCCATTGAATCGCCCTCAGTTCGCAGCTGAGAAAAAGAAATGGTGAAAAAACGTTTGAGACAACTTATCCAAGGAAGAAAAAACCGGAACTACCTTCATCACTATTACTTTTTGGCGATCCACAAGCTTTTGAAGCAGCTCACTCTGACGTTTGTGCACCATATAGAGAGAATATTGCTTATCCTCAAAGAAAAAATGTGGAGAAACACCAATGAGTACTATAAATACATCAGATATGCTACAACACACTTTCGCAATGGTCAGTTTCCGTCTCGCTTCTGCTATCTTCTCTTGTGCTTCCTTCAATTCCTGATTGACGAACTTTGACGTCTCAATAGTTGCGACCTAAAGGTAGGACTCAGACATTCCCCAACATCCATATTTTTATCGAAACGTTTGAAAAGGAGTACCGTAGGAGGCTGAGCTGGAGTAGCATCGGATGTGGGTTTGTCAACGTTAACCCCAGAATTTAACACAGATCTTTGTACTCCCTGAAATCATACGATCCAACTGAGTACACTTCGAAACACGATTTAACTATGGCAGAGTAACACTACTTCAACACCAGGAGCGCTTCCAGCTATCGCGTCAGGATTGTAGAAGAACACTTTAATAAAACGATTGTTCAAGACTGGCTGGGGAGATTTGTATGCCGACATGGCTTCATGGCGTGAAGCATATGTGATCAGAGCTGCATCGACTTCACCATTGAAACGTACCTGAGAGGGAAAAAAATGCAGGTGATACTAGTAATAGCCCTGTGTATACGGATCATAATAACTTCGATAGTTACCTGCATATTCACTATGCTTCCAAATGCAGCAAAATGTTCGTTCAACTTAGCAATATTGTTGAGTTCCGGCGGTATCTTTTTCACCTTAAAATGCAAAGTCATATCATATAAGAAAGCTCGACACATTCTTAGCTATATCACAATATTGCTAATTATTCTACTACAATGTAGTTAGTGAACTTCACCTCAAGTTATCTCCAGATATTGAATATTTCGTCCTTTCAAACAGATACGAAAGGGAATGTCAAAAACCCCTACCTGTAATGTCTTACCATCGCCACGATTATTCGATATCTGATGGAATCTCCCTGTTATACCTCCACCGCGTCCACGTCCACGAATCCCACTACGCATCATAGGGGGACGTGTTACTGCACCTGCTGATGAAGGATCGACGGGGATTCCTCCTGACGGATCGTATCCGATCTGTAGCCATTATAAGTATGTCAGAAACATGAATTCTAGCCTTAGTGGTTTGCAAATTCTTGAGTTCCAAAATGTTCTGAGGCCGAAAGACAGAAAATATTAGCACTTTATTCTACGTGAGCGAGATGTCGCGCAATAATCGTACGTCATCTATAAATTCGTTAAGGTAGTGAGTGTAAAGAGATCCACTGGCTTCCCTTAAAATAGAATAGATGACCGACCTATTTGTACATGGACAGAAGATAGAAGCATTAATGGTGTGCCAACAAGTGATGGGAGATTGAAAAAAAAAAATGAACGTCTAAGCAAAAAAAATTACGACCAACCGTGGGGACGACAACATTTGCAGTAGCGGGTACAGTGTATGGACTCGGACGCCATGCTCCAGTATTTATGGGAACAGGAATTGGCGGAGGTGGCATAGAGAAGTCAGGTCCACTCAGAGAAGGAGCTTCAGGATTATAACCTTAAGAAATGGCAAAAATGAGAACGATATCGATAGAACGCAGGATAAAAGGATTACCCTCGACTGATCTAGAACCCGGAGGAGGTGCAGCAAAAAGTGGCTCAACACCAGGAGGAGGTGGGTTAGGAGGATGATATCCGGGAGGTGGGATCCTGTAATAGCGAATAACAGGAATATCTTGTTAGAAGACCAATAACACACAATAACAATAGCATATCATACGTGAAATTATGAGACGTCGGCTTCTCAGGAATCTTAACCATTTTTTCCAGCGCAGAATCGTCAACGACCACTGGATCTGGGCCATGATCGAATACACAATGATCTCCTTGCATGCAATAACCCTTCTCTGCAAAAGCTTAAAATAATACAACTTTAAACAAAAAAAAAACAATGGTTGTCGAAATCATCACCATCATAGTCACGACACCTCCTCTTCCTGCGATCATCTAGTCGAGGAGATCGTCGATCACGTCGTTCAGACGATCTACTTCGCCCACCACTTCTGGACCTAAGATGATTTAGAATTCTCCCAGTCCCTACACGATACGTCACTGCTGAACCACAAGAATCCTACTGCATCCATTAACCTCGTTCTTCTTCTCTCTCCACGAAAACGCTCATTGGGAGAGCGACGTGCACCAACTCTCCCACGACGCTCTCGCGGCGATCGCGATCGGGACCTCCGTCGTGGATCTCGCAAGGATTCCCTCACCTCACGAACATTTTCTCTCGCATCCCTCTACAAATTGAAATACAGTGGAGAAAGTACGAATATTTCTCACCGTCATACCTTCACCATGTCGGCAGGTGGGGGACTGATACGCTTCCGTACTGGCTTTTCATTACGCACGGCCGGTTGCACGTCATCTTTCCTTGCTTTCTCAACAGGAGGCTTTCGACGCTCCTCACTGTGATCAATACTTCGTCCAAACTCTCGTGTAGGCTATAAATTTTACGACAAAATACGGTAACAAATCGATCGTACAAGTGTGTTGAAAAGAACAACAAAAACTCGTATTGAAGTACGAACTTTTGTTTCAGTCGTTTCTCTTTCTTTCTTTTTGAATTCTTCTCGCTTGGCAACTCTTTCCTTCACAACTTCCTCCGGGATTGGTGACGGCTCTCTCCTTGGGAGGTAAGAGCCATCTTTCAAGACAGAGAACATCTTGTCAACGAATTTTCTGGTATCTTTAATGGTAATGTATTAGTGTCTTTGCCATGAACACATCATTGGATACTGTTATCACCGTATTGCCATTAACATTTACATGATAACGATCTACTTAAGGCAACCACCATAGGGGGCAGCCATTAAGGTCATACTCATCACATGTTCATCCAAACTCATGAAACCACTTTAAAAATTGCTCCAACGACTTTCTTTTGCAAGAATGTTAGCTTGATGGTGCACAGTGCAGTTAAATTGAGGAAGGTACGAATAGACAGTCTTCATGATACATGAAATAATAAACGTACTTCCTTGTAGGAACGCTTCCAGTTGACTGTTACTGAATGCATGCATCTCTTCGTCGGACATGTTCGGTTTATGAAGAAGAGCAAGGACGTATTTCGCCAGGGCTCCCGGCTCTGCATCGAAGCTAAAACAAGAGGTTTTGATTACTGACATACTATGGACAGACTTATCTCATGAAAGACAAGAAAAGAAAATACTCCATCAGGACCATTTGAACTTACATAGGTGTTAATTCCGTGATAAGCCATGATGTAAACTTCTCTACATTCTCGATGTGCATCTCGAAAATGAATGACGACGTAAAATAGGAAGACACAATCACACACTACTCTATTCAGACGTTCTATTCAGAGTGCGAATCACCTGAAATGCATTAGGAATAAATTTCTGCTAGAAACACTGCAAAAGAAATATCGAATAACGAAGGATACAACTATACACGATGTAGTGAAACCAGCTAACCAGTGAATACGATAAGTGCAAATGAACGCGAAGAAAACAAGTTCCTTCCCTTATCACGACCGTTTAAAACCAAACACTTCAATAGCCCCGAGAGCATACTGGTTCTTTACTAGGAAGTGGTCAACTGTAGTAACCGAAAAGCACTGAGCTATGGAAGATTTGATGGGAAGGAGTTGCTGCATGACGGGTCCGAGACGACATCACACAACCGGCGCACCAGAGAGACCAGAGCCCCGCCAGGGACGCAGGCGTTCGCAGACATCCTGACAGGCTTACTGTCAACCTATGTTAAACTACTGCAATGCGTTACTGTTTCCGTACTGTAAGATCTACTACGAGTCAAAGGCGCTGACATGGTTCATAGATGGTGGAATTAGCTAATTCTCATCGATTACAATATCACATTGTTCTCTTAGATACTTAAAGTCAGCTCTTTTGAAAGAAAGAGTAGGAATCATAAGGGCGTAGGCGGCCAAATTCTAAGCAGAAGTCGTAGGAACAGCTTTATACGATGACGCTTACATATATCCCTGACATATAACGGACATTTTTGAGGATGTTAACATATACAGATAATTAGGTGTGGATTGTTGCAGACTGGCTGGGCTGACTACGGGCCTCCAGGGAACCACCATAGCTAAATCAGCAGAACTCCGAAAAAATGGAAATTGTGCTGAGGCCCGCACAACCAATGAAGACGGGCCATCCATTTCCAAGTAGTGATCCTTGTTAACAACCTGTATGTCCAGTAAATCGAGACCTCAAACAAGTACTGAGGAATCTGTGCTTTTCTGAGCACTACTGCAAGTTGTTACCAAATGTTTCAGTATCTGATACGAACTAAACCTCAAAAACGCTGATGAAACACTGCTGCTGATGAGATTTACCACCTAAAAGTTGACAAAACATCAAAAGCATAGATGTCAAATGATATACAGATATCCAATGATATACGGATGTACACGTGTGATCTTCGATGACGACTGATATATTGCTACCGACGCACAGTCGCTATGAAACCGGATTTTTTAAAACACATGAAGCTGGCCGAAAGCCAATCTTTCTCACATGACATGACGTTCGCCAAAGGCCAAGTTCTTTTTGACTAAACAAGCTAACGTTTCAGCTGTATCGCCTTCTTCAGAGTCTGGAAGGTTACACCTCGTGTTTGCTCAACAAGCTCCATGCATCCGACCACATCAAGCTTCATAGTGGCACTGAATGCACATCTGCTCTATACAATGATCTGATGTGCCTTATCGATATCAAGTAGTTAGCAAGTCTCCGTGTGATTGAACTAACACGACATTTAACTCGGCTAACGTGCCTTATCATTAAACCTCGATAGTAACCTCGGTTTTTAGGATACTGACTACCAAGGTATATGCCAGCAAATGAAGCACGGATTGCTACAGGATGCATTACCCGCCCAATGTAGATCATACTGAAAGCCACAATGGACCAACACTAGTCTTGTACAAGATGCCCAAACCTTAACTTAATAAAACTTTTATATTAACCACGTGTTAGCTCAATCACGTAGGAAATTATTGGTCATTGTTACCGAGGTTTAATGATAATCGGCTTTAAAAATATCTATTCGCTGTTTTCTATCGTCCCAGACAAGTCTGGTACGAATTCGCCGATCCCAGAGAGATGGAAAGCTTGGTGAGTTCGTGGCATATGATTGAGCCAACGATCAAGTGTGAATTTTAGAGAACCTTTAACCATTCTGCTTCGGTATACTCTTAATATTTCACAAAAACACTTAAAAAATCCACAAAAGAAGAAATTCCACCACCAGCGAAAGAGCCAGATGAACAGATGTGATGCTAAAATCCGGCCTATAGCAAAGATAAAGCACCTCAACCTGAGCAAACAGTAAACATGAACACCAATAGGACACGGTATATGACATATCGCCAGAAATCAGACAAGAGAACTACTCACAGTGTTATGGATGGCAGGTCTTAAAAAGAAGCATGAGAAGAACGGATCACGGATCGATCGCGGTTCTACTGAAGAATACAACGAACCACTGGCGCCACGGTCTGTCGATCACGTAACTCGTCTATCTCCACTAAGTGCTCTCCGTAGTTATTGCAAAAGGCCACCGATAATTGAACGGCGTAAACACGCAAAAAACGCAAACCAGTTACATGAAGAAGATGAGTTCAAAAAAAAGAAAAAGGACCAAGCAGATGTGTTTTCCCAGGTGCTACTCGTTACCACAACAATGACGACCAATAGATGACGGGCCGAGCAGTGCCCTTACGGCGTCCGTGGAATAGTTGCGCCTTCCTGGGTGGCACATAATAGTTTCCCATTGGCGCTCGAATCGATTGCCTATGCTCCAACACGGACCACACCTCCTGTCGTCAACAAACATTCACACTCCACACCTCAGCAATACCCAACTTAGTTCCACTGACTCCCAATAATTTGATATTATTGTCGAAGATGTTGTGTTTATATTTCTGTAATTGTGGAGACTGCTAAATCTACTCATTCTACTTCCACAATGAATTCATCAACATCAACGAGCACATAGTGAATGAACGAAGATGTCTCCCCAACCTGACATTGATGGATGCCTACTTATTTTTCACATCTGTAACAGATTTCCTAAAAATATTCTCTTCATTCTTCTTCCGGGTTTTTTAATTCTCTCACATCACAATTTTTCTTCGTTTGAGTCGTAAATTCTATCAATTCCAGTTAACGTCCATCAAATAACTACTAATGAAATTCCGATTTAGATGTCCTAAAATAACAGAACTGATGGCTCCATCGTCATCGATTGAAGGGGCCATAGATGAAAAGAACACACGTGCAGTACGAAATCTTCGCACCAGAATACTACAGGTTCGATTTCGAGATTTTCAAGAAGTGTGTGTTATTTAGCAAATTTACTACTAATGGAGGTAAACAGGACAAACACTGTCGCAAATGCAGTCGAGAAGACATGGCGCGTCTTCGAACAGAGGACTGGTGGCTAGACACTTTTCTACGGGCCTACGACTACGATCTGGACATCACATATGCTGTATTGGCTTCATGCGTACAATGGAGAAACAGTTTCCAAGTGGAACGTATGTGCTACGAATCTAAATTCCATTTACAATTTCGTTTGGGATCCGTAAACCTCTTCCAGATATCAGTATCCTTGGAATGAAACCACTGCTTGATCGTCAGTTAGCATACCTACATGGACGTGACCTAACCGATTGCTCTATTTGTAAGTTCTTTTCTTCGTAGGAAAACTAGCACTCATACACATTCGAACCTTTTCTATTCTTTTTCTTGACTTTCTGTACGTATGAAATGATAGCGCTATTATTGCTAAAATAAAAGTCGTTTTCTATGCCTCATCACGAAAACAAGCATTCTCTTAGTCTCTTCTGCTTAGCCTTACCATTTGCGGTGCATAAACCTAGAGCTAGGAATGTTATGGAGAATGTCTTTACCAAAAACTCTACGTAGCTGTCCTACATATGATTCAAAAAACAGTTTAAAAAGACGTTTGGAGATTTGGAATAGTACAGTGGGTACTTAATTATGGATTTTGCAACCTAGAACATCCTAGCACGAAGACGAAAAACAGAAAATCTCAAGGACGGACTTTCCATTAACTTCGACATGACTAAGCAGCATGTCATTTTCCATTGGTAACCTAACACGAAATCGATAAAAACGTTTCGGTTTCTACGTTTAGTTTCAGTTTTTCTTCCGTTTATCTCTTCAAAACTGTTTTTACTTAAGTCTTTTTTAACCTTTAAAAAACTATCAATGAAAAAAAGAAATAACGGAAGACTTCAGTATGGATCCATCTCGCACAATACCTGCCCAATGACACTGGCTTTGAGAACGTTTTCGTATTCTGGCTTGAGCACCATACAATGGAAACGAAAGCGGATCCGCTAACGATTGTACTCAACATGACTGGGACTAGCCTAAAGAACATGGTACTTCTTTCATTTTTTTTTCAAATAGTGAAAAGTAACGAGATTTGAACTCTGGACTTGCAGGATTTCAAAATTTTCAAGTTCATTTTTCATGCGCTCAAGTACTACTACCCCAGTATTGTGCACGATATGATCATATTCGAATCACCTTCGATGCTAAGCGCATCGTGGAAGGTACAGTAAGTTCGACGTTTCCACGTAGAAGAACTCATTGGAAAATGCTCCGAAAGCTAGGGTTCAGGTCGTGAAGTCCTGGTTAGATCCTAGTCATCCTCAACTTCATCACGTAACGAAGGAGACGATGAGTCAATTTGTTGACAGCAGAAATGTCCCATTACACATGGGAGGTGAGGTAAGTAATTATGAAACTGTATTGGCTCTTTGTTAACTTTCGCAAAATCAGTTTTTAGGAAAATCTATGTTGGGTTTTTTTTTTTGGAAAATTCCAGCGTGTGACAGGACTTCAGCAATTTCCTGAACTTGTGCAGTCTTTTCTTGTAGGCGTATTCATTATCATAGTATACAAGGGTAATACGCTATACAGGAATTGTGGCGTACAGACATGTGAGCTTCGAATCTCACAGAGTAATACTTTAATAAAGTAGTGCATTTGTTCGACGATGATGCACAAGTGTAACAACCCATCTCGACGTTGTCTTCGAGCAGCTGTTATCCGAACAACTCACGTTCCAGTAAACGCAGTGTTTTTTCCACTAAGAGCCGCATTTGATTTCCACTCACATTTTCGTTTATTGTCCTGCAAAACGCGGCGCATTGCGCAGTGAGGTCCTGCGGTGAGTTTTACACCCAAAATTTCACTTGAATGAACTAGGAGGAACAGCCCACCAAAGCTATCCTACTGCCCAGACTAATAGACCGAACTTCTTTATTTGTCTACTGGTCACATAAGTACTATAAGCCAACTAATTCCATACAAACATACGCCTTCCTTTTCTAATCATTTAGAAAGAAGTTACCTATTTGAGTTGATGACTTCAGCTCGGGAAGCAAAATTTCATTATTTCTTTCCCTACTTTGTAGGATCACTTCAAATTCACCATGGACGACTTAGCAAAATGCCTGCCAGCAAGCCGGGAAGATAATGGCCAAATGACAACCTCTGAGATTGAATACAGCTTCGAGAGAAACGGACTTGACTCAATGATTAAAAGGGTGAGTACAACCTCCAATTTTCTGGTGTACAAGTTGGAGGTGTCATCAATATTAGCCGTATTGATCCGTGAGTATAATTAATGGAATACTGATAACTACTATTGCCGAGGAAGAGTTTGATTACTACGGCTGAACTAAAATCGATTCATGTCGGCAGATTTGACTCCCTAACATCCTAGTCACATATATCGTTTTCATTATTAGCACTCTGCGCTACCTTGTTGGTACAAAAGTCGCCGCGGCACGTAAAATCAACTTAACTTTCCTCATACATGATGCTCTCGCTTTCTTTGTACTCAACTCACGAATAACTTTTCTGGCTACTACTAGGGAAACAGAATTGCTTATCTGAGCTGAAGCCTAGTACAATGTATACTGGATATGCCATCGGTTGAATACAAGAAGTATAAAAGCTTTTGCTTGGCTAAACAAATCACTAGAAAAAAAATGAGTTCATATTGGTACACATCAGCAGATCTGCCCACCTTTACGATGCAGTTGACGGCCTGTAGGTGTTAAAAGTGGAAATTTGTGCTATGATGACCACCACTCAACATAGAGTGACCAAAGAAAGTTATCTCCGAATAGGCTATAATAAAGGAGAGGAATTTATCCTAACACCAGTCGACGAAACACTGTTAAAATAAGACTGTAAGGGAAGAAAATGAGATACGATAAGTGAAACGATGTCCACACGGGACAATTTCCAAGCTTCCTGATCAGCACTCTCTCCGTATGGAATTCGAAGCTGATTATGATGAATTCTACCGAGATTAACTAAAAATGATTGTTTATATGGCCGTCATGGTGTTTCGTTTTTGTCTTACTAGTATGTACTTGTCAGATGGGCTTGAAGCCTTTGGCATAAAGATGAGTCAAGCACCATTGGCAGTTCACTTTGCGCAAAGCGTTTGAAATAAATTAAAATCTTACCACAAGAATTAACCCTGAACTTATACCTTCTTCTCGCAAAGGAAAAATAACCTCCCGATAGAAATAAGTGACTACAAAGATCCAAGCACGGCCAACACATTTCTTATATAATGTTAACTTTTTACTTACTGCCTATTAAAATTTTTCACAGTCGAGTATAATGTGTGAATCAACCACAATGATGCCGAAATATTTGCAAAACTCCGGACTGCTAGTGTCTGTGGTGGGGACTGGACACGCTGTTACTCTTTCCGGAGGCTGACACGTTCACCATCACACCATGCGAGTCCTTCGTTTCGCCTGTCTCTCACCTAGTTCTATCGATCTTTTTCTATCAGCAATCACCCGTCAGCGTGATTGATCTGGGGAGCCCAAATCGGCATTGAACCTTGTTAAGCTGAAATTGTGGGATAAATCACAATGTCGTTAATTTCTATTTACTGCCTATTGTTTTCTAATGGCGGAGCATTAAGTGAAATATTCTCTCCTTTATTAATTAAATGTTAAGATTGAGATATTAGGAATGTTAAGATCCTACTTTCTACTACAAGTTTTATTTTCCTCAATAGTCTACCGCTTTTATTCCACGTAAGATGTTCGTATGCAGTTTCTATAACGATGACGATCAACAATAGTTTCTCGAATAATTGAAGCATGCACTTTGAAGGCTGTCACCTTTGACGATGATGACGAAGAAGCGAACAGAAAAGTACCATTAACAATATCCAGAAAATCAAGCAATTGGTCAGTGAAACGAAACATTCCACAATGTTTGAAGCCGGTAATTGATGCAAGGTTACATAGCCCCGATACGGACTGGGTCAAAAACGCATTCCTTCAGATAAGGTATATTTTTCTAGCAGCCAGTATCTGCTAATGTTACTTCTGATTTTGTAGTCAATACTCTTACTTGATATTTACAGCCCACGTGACGTATTAAATCTGAGTCGCATTGACAATGTCACCGACTATGTGGATATAGTCATTGTACGAAACATATCACATGTCTCAGTGATGTTCAAGATCAAGACCACTTCGCCAGAAAAATTCCGAGTTCGACCTACAACAGGAGTAATACCGCCAGAATCGACGGAAATAATACGAGTCTATCTTCAAAGTGGTAAGTAGATCGCCTTTATGGCATGTAATTAACCTGTACACGTACAATCTAACAGCATCACTTTTTTCTCAACCGCCTAGTAAACGATGACTAAACGTGGAACCTGGATATGGTTCATTAACGTTTCCGCCAGATCCACCATACTTATTTCCATATTCGTAAGACCTTTGATGTTAACTTTCACCAACTCACTCAGGCACTCTCATTAACAGACGAGCAACCGTTCGCATTGATTTCAGCACATACTTTTGCGACTACTAATTTCGTCGCAAACCACTTGATACACATTTTGTATTCATGGAGTAGTTTGTCCGACATCGATTCAGCACCAGATTTGATCCATGAGAAGCTATTCTCTAGACTAGGTAGTCTACACACCTTTCTTTTCAGGCGTTTTTCAATAGACGCAGGAAGAAATTAGGCATATTTTTCTGCATAGGTGACCACCACACAAAGATAGGCATAGTTGTACGTATGTTAACATATTCACGGCAGTATGAATTGATATGATTGCATGTGTGTATAGGCAGATTAAACGGTATGCGTGAACAATTCTTCTTTCCCTGCGTGAACATCTTCTTTCCCAGTGTTCATTCTGCAACACAGTGTTCATTCTTGTTATGCTTTTCGTATCCAGTTGATGGCTTGTCCATCACTGACTTCGTAGAACGCGTGGTCCATGAGCAGATTTATTCCCCGTTCGATAGTTTGCAACAGACCACTCCGGAATGATTTGTTCATACGGTGAAGAAACTTTTGCTGGTGAGCATTCTAATAAAGCACCTCGTTCAACAGAGACGCTCGTTTTCGTGCTTTCACAGTGATTCTGGAAATTGTATCCCTAGTTTATCGTTGTCGAATACATTTCCATATATAGGCTTGGTAAATGTGGTGGATGACACTTTTTCTATCACACGTAGGAGTTTCAATGTACGAAAAAACTAGCGGTCCGTATGCGTTGAGTTCAAACCACGCCGCATATAGTGAAAAATTAGGCTTATTTGTCGCGGGAGATAGAGAACGAGCGCGAGTAAAATTATGGAAACATTAAAGCAATTTGCTTCTGGAGATATATTAGTGGGATCTTCAAGTGAACCAAAAACTGCTGCCGAGGTTTCTGTTGTTTAAAGGTATTTCTGATTTGTACCAGCTTGCACAACCAAGTGTTTTTCTGAAGAAGTTCGAGTTACAACCAAGAATCTAATGTTTTACACAGCTCGAGGACTAAACATTTCAGCCATAGAGCTCACTGAGAGACTGTAACAAGATACAAGTTAGCAATAGAGTAGATATCGTAAAGGAGCAAAATGTTTTAGGGCTACCCACGTTGTTTCTTGACATTGTCAAGGTCAGTCAAGAACACAGGATGCTGTGTTCTCCACGCATTATGTTACTCCGCAATATGACTCCAATAGCGACACTGATAGAGAATGATGGAGATGAACCGTAAATCAAAAAGTACCGCTGACGAGTGATTGCTGATAGCATATAGAGTAAAAATATGGCTGAGAGAATGGCAAATCAAAGGTCTCGGTTGGTGCGGTGGATAGCACATTAGCCACGGAAAGGGTAACTGCGGGTTCGAAGCTCATTTAAGGTCCCAAGTTTTGCTCATAATCCCAAAATCCTTGTGGTTTTATTCGGCTATTTCGTGGTGCAATGATCCGAAACGATGATTCACAGACATATGTCCTCACGATGCTGGTCTTCGTAGTCGATTAAAAGTTTATTAGTTGAGAATCCAGTCCAGATCCATTTTAAAATAACGCGCACACATGTGAACTTTCAGAGTACAAAGATTCCTGTGCTCGAGAGAAATTCCTACTTTTGGCGCTGGAATCCGAAAACAACAACTTGGAGACATTTGGAGAGCTGTGGAAAAATGCGAGCAGTGATAAAAAAGTGGAGCAGAAGTTGAGGTGTCGAGTGAGTGATGCCGGCTCAGGTGAAGGACACAATAGTGACCAAGCAGACAAGAAAACGCATGCCAGTTCACAGGTGAAGACTACTGTAAAATAGATTAAGGAATGAGATCTATTACTGTTTCGTTTCAGCAAGATCAAATCGACCGGCTACGAGCGCAGTGTGAAGTTATGCAACGTGCTCAATTCATACTTGTGGTTGCAATGCTTGTACTGTTCCTCACACTGATGGTCATAGTGGTGAATGAGAGGTCCAGATACAGCGCCTTAGAAGAAGCAGTCAGTATGCTCTCGAACAAACTGAACGTTACCGAATGCGAGAAGGCACCTACCACTCAGCAGCACCATTCACCACCAGTTACCTATGAAGAAGATCTTTAGGCTTGCACTGTTTTATAAAAACAATAAATATTGTTTATGAATCTGAGACTTCCTCGAAATGTAAATGTGTAGAGGCAACGTATTCAAGAATTTTGCCTTAGCCAACCTCAGGCAAGATCCAAATTCTTCCGCAGCAGCGAAAACTGAGAAACATCAAGCATCAGCATACAACTCGGGTCCGTTGCCCATGCTTCAGAAACATTTAGCTGGGGAAATGTTAATTTTCCAGCTGTGAAAATTTGGATTCCGTGAATATCTAGACCCATACATTGCACAACTATGAAGACTTAATGCCGAGATATTGGATGGTAGGTTTGCTAACTGGATTTGGGATAGATGTGGTACCAACCTGGCGGTAACTGCGACACCTTCCATTCAAAGATAACATTTTAGAGGTTTGCAATAGTTCTAAAATAGTGCTGTAAAAAAATCGAAGGAAAGTAATAATCGATAGGAAGTAATCCATAACAACGGAAACAAGACATGTCTATCAATGTCAGTCGCCATTACTACGCAAAATTCAAGTCGTACAAGCCACATACATGTCGGTGCACACTCCAAATACATATTCATGGTAAAAGTCACACGTATAAGTCATTCAAAGACAAATTTGCACAACTCAGTAAATTTGGCCTTTTAATATTGATGACTCGCAGGAGCACAGAAGTATGCACGCGTCTCAGTTTACCCAGACAAGCCTAGTGCTAAAAAAGCCGTAGTCAGCACTCTGAAATGGACCACGAGATTTGACTTGCATGTGAAGTCGAGTGTGACATAAAGAGTCTGTCAACATCATAGCAGTGGAAAGAGGTTAACGCAATGGTTAGCAAAGCGATCCATTAGGAAGCAAGGTGCTGGTTCGAGCCCCTTCACAACGCTCTCCTCAAACCTACGTCGCAACGACTTAACTTGGCTACGTTCAAAATTGCAAGCAGAATCGACTCGACCAGCATTCTACGACCGTCATGAAAAAGTCGAAATCCTCAAGAAACAGCCGAAACAATATGCGAACTTTTCGGAAAAACGTCTTCATAGTAACAATAGTAATAATAACCGACATCTCGTTGCGCAGTTCCACCCACCCGCTATAACCTGAGTACCTAAGCAAATGAATCGAATACAAGAAGTTCTGAGATCCGTAGAGTAGACATGATGATGGACTGTGTAAATAAACAGCAGCTAATAATGATTTAATAATGATTATAACAATAGTAATAATAACCGACATCTCGTTGCGCAGTTCCACCTACCCGCTATAACGTGAGTACCTGAGCACTAAAATAGTAACCATCTTATGCTGCATAGCCATAGTACTGCATGTTTACTGCTCAGTGGTTAGGAAAACAAGTCATTACAGGTCTACATTACTTTTTATGTGTAATGACAAGCTCAGATTTTCTTGACCCATAAAATATTACGGTAGAACAGGCTATTATGCATCGATCTGTTCTTGCTCAGTATCAGATCTCTAAGTACAAACCGGAACAGTTAACGACGACACCATGGAAGGCTAACACGGCCGACTGATACAATTCGCCAGCAAATTCGCTCTGTGTGTGCATCAAGTACTTGGACTCTACAATCACTTGCTAGGCAAAGTAGAAACACCTTATATTTCATACCGTTATTTAATCTCCGTAGTAACAATCAAGACCTTCTTAGATTACTAAGCCAACATATTGTTGATGAAGACGTTTATTCGAACGTTTCGCCGAAAACGAACGATTGTGGACCACTGCTCGGACCACTCACTGGCTCTGATGAAGACGAAGATGTCGAGACGTTAGCCTAATAAACATCTTTATCAGCCTCATGGTAGCTTGGAAATCTAAGAAGAAACGCACTGGTATAGTTTAAAAAGAGAAGGACCACTCTTTATATTTCCACGTAAGAAAATTTGGAAAGGAAAGAATAAAACGTCAAACGGCATAAAGTTCAGCTTTTACCAAAAATCCAGACTTTTACAGAGTACGGTGGTCATAAATGTGCACAAAAACGCCAAAAAACTGACTCAGAGAGTACGTGACAGCAAACAACACATACGATTACCTCGGTTGCATTCTTCAACAGACTACTGCTAAAATCCTCATTCGTAAAGCTGAGACTCGGATAAGCAAACCCTTCAAGACTCCGCTAAGCCCTGAGACAAGTACGTACACAGAAATAGCCTTAATTAGCAAGAAAACTAATCTCTTTACGCGAACTGGATACCTACTGAGTGACAGCAGCGTTTTCGAGCACTTGCGCAACCCCATTCTTGAAACTGCGACTGACATGTGGTCCCGCATGGAAAGAAGAATTCCGCCTGAGTATTCGATCTGTGCTCCGGCCATACCCTTTAACTTTGGCTGATTTTTAGCACTCACAAGATTTCTGTCCAGTCATTTTTCGTTGATTGGTCATAGTGTTAGTAAATTACTTGTTTGATTAGGACAGGAATGTTGTTGTGCTGCTTAGGAATAAGAAATGGTGGGGTGACACTATGTTTGTCGCTAGTGAGGGGAGGGTTCAGTTCTTTTCGTTCTCTGTTTCTCTACTGGATTTCTGGATTGTCTAGGAACGTTCTTTGCATGCTTGATAACTTGAGCACATTTTAATAGTTTTTATCGTAACAGCCATCTTGTTTTATTTTATGCTGTGCCTAGGAATGTTGATACAGTGAGGCCTTTTTCTAGGTGGAATGTCCAAGAGAGGACGCGGAGGAGCGTCGGGAGCGAAGTTTCGAATATCCCTTGGTCTTCCAGTTGGTGCCGTCATTAATTGTGCCGACAATACTGGTGCCAAGAATCTTTTTGTTATCGCCGTCTATGGAGTCCGTGGAAGGCTCAACAGGCTTCCGAGTGCTGGAGTTGGAGACATGTTTGTTGCTTCAGTAAAGAAAGGAAAGCCGGAGCTGAGAAAGAAGGGTTCGTTTTTTCAGAATCTAAATTTTTAACGATTTTCTATTCCTTCGAATTCTTTCATAAGATAATGTTCATTACTTTGGGTTCGACTTTTCTTCTGTGCTTAGTTTCTTTTATCTAGACTAACTATGTAACAGTCATTATCAGCTAGCACAAAGCGTAGTGATATTTCGAAACCGACTTTCCTTGAACCTCGGTGTGACTAATCAATATGTACTCTTTCTTTGATGAGCTTGTTGTTTCTCATTGTTACTCAACAACAGTCATTGTTTGCAAAGAGAAGACGGGGTTACAAAATGGGTACAGTAAATCTCCACAGCTGTTTTTGAAAGTTCTCGAGTTCTGACCCTCATTTCATGTTAGCATCTACTCAAAAACTGTAGGTTTCTGAGATAAGGAACGAAGAAATTAAAGTTCAAGGACAAAACGCCGCATTTTTTCTACTGCAAGATTTCATATTTAAGTCCTTTTTTCAGTCTTGAGTTTTCGGTGCCTTTTTATTTAAAGTTTTGGCAGTTCTCTTGTTTCACCACGATGTGTAAGTAGGAATTTTTGGTTTGCATATAGTTAGGATCCTCCCAACGATTTACCCCTCATCGTAGCTGAATGTTCTTGGGTGTCGAGTTGCGATGTACAGCGAGGCCCTAGTAGGGTCTCCTAAGCTGAGAAGTCCGGCATTTCCACTAGGAAGCCCAGCTAAGAGTAAACCTACATGAGGATCTCTCACCGTCATGGTACCATACTAGTCGCATGGTGACAAGTATCCCTCTGATCTACAAGGATGGCTGTGGTGATGACGACCTGGGGCAGAGTTCAACCTGGCTGACCGCTTGACTCCAGGGAACCACGATGGCTAAACCAGCAGAAGTCCAAAAAAATGAAGATTGTGCTGGGGCCCGCACAATCAGTGAGGACGAGCCCTCCAAGTATCCAAGTAAATATAATCAGGATATGTGATCCAGAACTGGGAGCCTGCATAGTTTCATCGGCATCTTGTGACTGTTCATATCTGAACGTTATTTCTGCAATGTCTTAGTTTCAGTTAGTTTTATTAGTCCTTTTCTTGTCTCAGTGTTATGTCGACAAAGCATGTTTTATGTGGGGAAGGTGACTAGATTTTTGAAATAACGTAAAAAAAGGACTCATCAATTCAGTTCTCTAGCAGTACGACTCATCTAGAAAACACAAATGGGTTTGTGTTTAGGGACTTTATTTCTTATAGTTATTATTCACGTTTATTTCTTCAAAGAGCGAAACATTTTCCAGTCCTTCAAGCAGTGGTAATCCGACAACGCAAGCAATTCAGACGAAAAGACGGAACATTCATCTATTTCGAGGATAACGCTGGAGTGATAGTCAACAACAAAGGAGAAATGAAAGGCTCCGCCATCACAGGACCTGTCGCCAAGGAGTGTGCAGATCTTTGGCCTAGGATTGCTGCTAATGCTGGTTCTATTGCGTAAATTTTTTGTTATCGGGAAACCGAATGAATTATTTGTTTTTTTAATTTTGTGATCACATTATACCTTTAGCTCCGTCAAGGTTCAAAATTAAACTGCAACAATTGAAATAATGGAGACTTTTCTATAACCTAGCTCTAATGCCTTTACAATTTGTGGCATTATTTATGTCTCTCTCAATTGCTTCCGAAATTGATGAATGTTACTAGGAACAGCTAAATTATTATGTGTATCATGTTGCTGTGAATTGAAACCAGCTAATATAACCGATAGTATGGGTAGTGATGTAGAAATGCAGTGACTTTGGAAGGTCCTATATTGCGACTTGTAGGAACGCAGTTTTATTGAGGATGTTATAAGGTATGGACAGGTTTATAGGGTGGTTATAGAGGCTTTGAAATGACTTTTTCGTGACCTCGAAAGAAAGGTCTGTGCTTTTATTATCACTGGAGCTGTTAACTTGGTCAACACAAACATATTTCTATATTTGTTGACGTGTAACATCTTTCCGTTTGTTTTCAGGCTATTTGGGCAAGATTGACATCTTGATAATGAAGGTATATAGAACACCTCACTAAATATAACATTATTCGAGGTATTTAAGCACAATCGAACAGATATGGTTCACTTTTCCTTAAACTGTATCCGGGAAAAGTGTTCCTAATTGTTGAATACGAACTTATGATATGGTCATTGTTCCCATATGTCATGGTGGTGATTTTTTCTAATACTCTTCATGCAGCTGGGTGATTTCTGTATCGTAGTTCAGTAGCGAAAAGAGAAGTGGAAAACTGTGAGTGTTGATGGTATTGACACGTACTTCTTCCCAATAACTACAGGACATACGAGCTAAATTGGGTAAATATCATTGTTTCAAATGGTGACACCCCACTTGGTTTTTTTGAGGAGGTTCTGAGTGATTTGTTGTCTTTTAGTTTTCTTACATTATCCATTTAACGGTAGTAGAAATTGAGAAAGAAATCATGGAAACCTTTGATCGTCAAGGAATCCCTACTCAGTACACAAAGATTATTCGTGAGCTGTATTTTTTTTTTTTTTTTTTTTTTGTAAGATTTCGCAGCTAAGATATCACCGTTCTACAACGATACAAACATTGACGTCAAAAGAGGAGTTAGGTAAGGTGATACCATCTCGCCGAAATTATTTACCGCCACCTTCCAGAACATCATGCGAACATTGGAATGGGATAATATGGGAGTTAAAATCGATGGTCGGTAGTTACACCATCTTCGCTGTACTGATGACATCGTCCTTGTAACACCAAACATTAACCAAGCGGAAGGTATGATTGCCGACTTTGATAAAGCCTGTGGAAAGATTGATTTTCGACTAAATTTCACAAAAGCGACTTCCATGAAGAACGGATTGGTTTCGCGTGCCCTATTCACGCTCAACGGAACGAATATCTTCCAATGCTCCAGTTATGTCTATCTAGGTCGGGAAATCAATATGAGCGACCTAGCCCCAGAGCTGAGCAGAAGGAAACGAGCGGCTTGGGGAGCTTTGAAGAGCATCGAGGATGTAATGAAGAGAACAAAGAAAACACCACTCCGTGCCCACCTTTTCGACCCAACGGTACTTCTTGCCCTAACGTATGTGTCAGAAACCTGGTCGCTGCGTAAGTAGGATGAAAAATCGCTCAGCGTTATCGAACGCGCAATCGAAAGGACGACACTGGGAGTATCCCGTTTCACACAAGTAAGGGATGGGATCGGAAGGCCCGACCTGCGTCAACGATGACAACAAATGGACAAGAGCCGTTAGTGATAGGATTCCTCGGGGTGTCAAACATACTGCAGAAAGACCACCGACCCGATGGTCAGAGTTCTTCACAAAGAGCTTAGAAGAAAGATATGATGCTCGACGAGTCCCTAAAGAGAACAGAACCCACTGGGCTAGTCTTGCTTGCCACAGGGAAAAATGGAAGATTTACTAGCACCTGTTCGAGTCACTTGACGATCAACAGGACTACAGGTGATACAGGCGTTCCATTTAACGGGTAAAAATAGCGCAAATGATTTTTTTAGATGATTTACGATCTACGGTGGAGACCAATCATGCTTTGACCCTCTACGGGTACTTACGAGTTCACCACCTCGCCATGCGAGTGCTTCGTTTCGCATTTCGCTCAACAGTGTTATTGACCTATACCAGCTATCAGCAATTACCCGCCAACAAAGTTGATCCAGCGAGCACGGATTGGCGTTGAACTCAGTTAAACTGAATTTGTGATATATTTCACTATCTCCACTTTTTATTTACTGTCTGCTTCTTTTTTAATGGTTGAGCATTATGTGAAATATAACCGTAATGACCAGATTGTGATTTATACCACAGCTTCAGTTTAACTGGGTTCAGTGCCTGTTTGTGCTCTCCAGAGCATCCCGTTGATGGGTGATTGCTGATAGCTGCTCAGCTAGGTCAGTAACACAGCTGAGAGAAAGACGAAACGCAGGACTCAAATGGTGTGGTAGTGAACGCGTTAGCTTCCGGAAAGGGTGATAGTGTCCTCGGTCCCTACCGTAGGCACCAGCGCTCATGAGATTTGCAAATATCTCAGCATCATTATAGTTGTATTCCACATAGTACCCTGTAAGTGACAAATAAAAAGTGACGAGATCTTAACTAATTTATGGCGTTAAAAAATTACATCGGAAGAATTTATTTATTAACGCGAAGGGTTGACTACGTTAAAAAGGGGAATAGGATTCGTTCGGATTTCATCTCAGATGGAATAAAGTACTTTTTCTTCTGTTCTGCTACACTCATAAGACAATGGTTTCAAGTCACGTCCTCATGCAGTATTTCGTCTTACCTCAGCTGTGATTATCAGTTGGTTGTTATTTGGGGTCTAGAGTTGGTCATCGTGGATGAACTTTGGTATATCCGTTAATCTAATGATATTGGAATGATATGTTTTATCGCCTTTCAGAAAACGATGATGTTGTCGCGGTTTGGTACATTGGTAAATTGTTGTATTGTGGTGATATTAAAGGTGTTAACAATAACCCAATCCGCCTATTGACGTCTTAAAGCCATTAACTTCTAACGAGCTAGAAGGGTAAAGGTGCATATTAACCCTTAAAGTGACTTCTTGAGCACTACAGTAAAAAGCTGCTGTTACACTTTAATTAAAAGGAGAAAGAGTAATGGGTTCGCCGTTGGTTAATTTCGGAGCGGTGTGCTGTGCATTCTAATCCATTCATAGTAGTAGAGGTGACTGAAAGCATATCTGCATACACGTTGACTTTCGGTGACCTGTCAATGCATCAAGTCGGTGCTGCTGATGGAAGGCTTGGTGAGCCCGGGACACGTGATCCTTGTGGATCTCGGCACTTCTATTCGGTTTCTCGCCCCGTATCTATTATTCACGAAGGTCTTTAGATTACGATTTGAATTGGGTTGCTACTTCAGGATTATATTTTCTTGATGAATGTCGTTGAATGTTTGTCGATTTGGCTCTCTCCATAATCCTGGAAAGGTTACCGGAGCATCCAGAGTTCATCGCCGCAGTTGGGCACCTATTTTTGTGAATCAGAGGGAGCTTTTTTCCAGAGAAGTCTGGCAGCAATACGCATATCCCGGACGAGTGAGTTGGCAGAGGATCATATTTTATAGTCTTTCAATAGATATTCCTGAACTTTTCAGCTTTGCATTTCCAAAATGTTTAAGTGAAACTTATGAAGTATAGATGAACATTCTAGAAAAAAACTAGGCGTCATGTCCTTTTACGGAACTCTGCTGTTGAAGTGTACGATCGCAATCATTTTACGAAGCGGTTGTAAGAGAAGTTACAGCTTTGTTCTTTAAACTTAAAACTCGAGAAGGGCTTTAAACCGTGAGAAAATTCGACGAAGACCTGGTTTCTTGAGTATATTTGAACACTCGAGGCCATTTATGGAAGAATTCATGAAATAAGTGATAAACATTATCTTCCGTGTTATGTATTCAATGCCGGACTGATCGAGAAAATCGTAAATAGAAAAGCTTGCTATTATCAATCGGACATGAATTTTTCTTTGAAAACGGATAAACTCGTGCTCTTAAACTTTTTGTTACATACAGCTGGCCATTCAATGCATTAAAGGACAAATGTTATTGTTCGTTGAAGAAGAATTGCAAATAACGTGACATCTAGAAGACTGTTACTAGTGACTTCAAAGTGAGCACTCATTTGAGGAAATTCGATAAAGGAGTAATGTAAGAGGGAGTGACGACTTACATAAACGAACCCTTTTATTCCTTGCTGAGAATGGTTCGAAAGTAGAAAATATAGCAGGAATTCGTCCACCTCCGATCAGATTATGTTCAGCTTCATATTTTTTAATACGCATGGGTTCCATTTCAAATCCACTCTTGTTTTGTGGCGTGGTATCAGCTATAATTGACTGACGTTAATCTTCAACAGTTTCCGTAGGGAATTGACCAATGAAGATCTCCCCCAAAAAAGATTGGTAACCTTGCTTGACACTATTGCGAGCTGCGAAGCCACTTCTGCGTTGTCACTTTAATGCTCACATCTTTTCAATTTCGGAACTACGACGTATCATTGTGTTTATGAAGTGCGTTTCAAACAAGCTAATACGAAAGCCATAGAAAGGTCTGTTGACAAGCGATTGCTAATGGCAACGTTAGAGTGAAAAATAGTTGAGGGAAAGGCAAAGTAAGGTCCTCGGTTACTGCAATGGAGACGTAAGCTCTTGGCGAAGGATAATCGCAGGTTTGAAGTTGAACTGAGGTCCCAATTTTTGCTCTTATCCCAACATCTTGTGGTTGTGCTTTACATAATACTCTGCCGTAAAAAGAAATAGGCAGTAAATTAAGGTTAAAACATTGTGAGTTTTTTCATTTCATCCACTCGTTAGGAGTAGAGCTCACTACTGAACACAGAGCAAATACCTGCGGAGAAGTCGTCGGCCACATTATTTCCATGTGTTGATTCAGTCTCTTACGTTTTTATAATTCGATGTCTACTATGTCTA